CGTGTGCTCTTCCGATCTCATATTTTGCAACAATATACACTTGCACAAATAACAGAGAGAGCGAATATAATAAAAAATAAAAAAAGGCAAGCAGGAAATTAAACACTACTCGTACACTTTTAGGAAACCAAGCCTAAACCAGGCGAAGCAAAGGTACACGAAACACTTTTTGTATCACACAATTTACTACAAAATTTCATAATCGTGTCAATCGTAGCCTATTAAGGCATAAAAAATTAGACGTTAACACTTATATTTACGCGTATATTTTTAGGAGGAACCGAAAATCAAACCTAAACCGCAAGAAGAAAAGGTACATTTAAATCTGCATTATCTTGCAGCAATATATACTTATACAAGTCTAGATCGCGGTTGATAAAAGAAAAAATGCATAGAGTATAGCAAATAAATGTGGCAAATAGGAGACATTTTTTAAACATCAATACACTTATAGGAAGCGCCAAAGGCAAAGCCTAAACCGGTCGAAACAAAGGTACATAAAATGCTTATCGTATTTTAGAAGTAATGCTAGGCTCAGTAGTTAGACTTTTATAATGCGATCTGCTGTGTAGCGATATGACACGGAAAATGAACAATATCTTATTTTACATACACACTTTTAGGAGGAACTGAAAGCTAAAACTAAAGCGGAAGAAGTAAAGGTACACGTACACTTGTGCTATCTTGATGCAACACAATACACAGTATACATTTAGTACAACAAAAAGTAAAAGAGAATTAGATAAAAAATTTAACGCTAGGTATTATTTTTGTAATTATTTTAAATAAAAATTAGGCAGAATTTAATTCCATATTCAAAGAAGAAGACATAGGTACACAGTACACTTTCACAATTATTTCTTCATAGTTATATTTTTCGTTTATGCACATTTATACATAGATATTATAATTTTAAAAATGCTTTTATTTAGGTCGAAGAAAAGCCTAAGGCTAAACCAGGGGAAGTCAAGGTAAACGAAATGTACTTGTACAAGTTAACAGAAAATACAATGTTAAGAAATTACGTCAAATACGATATTATTAAATACATACATTTTTAGGAAACACCAACGGCAAAACCTAAACCAAACGAATTAAAGGTATACCAAACGATTATAAATTTATCAAGATTAAAATTTTTACTAAAAAGTTTAGGTTACATAAAAAACATTAAAGTACTAAATTGCGAATACTAATTCAGAAAAATATAAATAAAAAATCATCCAGCCTTTATACATCGATATCGAGAGATTTGCATCTTCCATCTCTTTAAATTGTACAATAATATTTTAATACAGTTTATTATTAGGTCTTTTACTAAAATGCATGATAAAAATTAACAAAAACAAAATATTGTGCGCACTATTCTAAAAAAATTTCCCATTTTACACACATTAATTTATAACTTGTAACAAAAAATTTAAATATTCAGAAATTAATATGATATATTACTTAATATAAATTAAATTAATATTAAGAAAAAATACACAAAGCGTTGAGTTAAAGCAAATTTTGCTGTTTATAGAAAGAGGAATCTGCAACGAAACTTGCGGTACCTAAACCAGTAGAACCGAAGGTATACTTGATACAACATGTACACACAATATACAATATACATACAATTTACATTTATATTTATATGAATATAAATTAAAACAGGAAAAAAATTTTAACAAGAAATAGAGTTCTTTAATTTTTATATTTCTATTTGCAGAAGGAAGAAGAGATCACCAGGAAAAGTCTAAAGTCCGTCAAGGTAATTATTTTTATATATTAATTTTTTTTATATAAAAGAAAATTAATACAGAGTCTGATAATAATTATAAATATTGTATTAACACGAATTTTTAAATATTATAATTTAGCGCTGAGAGAAAGAAAAAAATTTATTTCTGTTTTTTAGAAATATTTTTAAAATATTTTTTTGAAATTGTAGAAGAAAAGATATATATATATATATGTGTGTGTAATGCCAAGTTTTTATTTGTTTCAGCAACAAGAGGAGGAGAAAAAAACTCAAGAAAAGGTCGAGCTTAAGGTAATTTTATTCCTCTCGTTATATCTATCAACAATCGTTCAAAATAATATTCAATATACCATCTTAATAGATGTAGATGTAGAAACAATAACGAAATTAGTTGTAGAAATTAGTATTAGATGTTTGATTTGATATTCCCATTCACTATTATATGAGACTTAATTTATTATCGTTGAATCAGTAGTATTAGATTAGCGTTTTATGCATTCCCCCTTTGCTTTTAAAGATTTGGTTTTGATATACCGCGAAGAGCGAATGTATCGATCGCTACACGTGATGCTTTTCTCCTAACAACGATATATTAATACAGCCGAAGGACGCCACCCAGACCAAACCGAAATCCCGTTTACCACCGAAACAGGAAGTAAAAACCGAAAGCTTTCAGGGGATTCAGCTTAAGCCGGTTACGAAGGATCCGAAACAGCCTCAGCAGGCTGAAAATGGCAAGGTGGAACTCAAGGTAGCCCCGTTGAAGGGGATCAACGCGATCTTAAGCCGCGCAATCTCTATGTCTCGCGCTCTCTGTGCCCTTAAACTTTCTCTCTAAAAACTTCAATTCGCAGCAGTTCTAATTTCGCATTATTAAACAACGCCGAAATTAAATTATTCGCATTCTTGTTTCTTGTACGTTACATCTGTACATACTTCAAGATATTTCTCTTACTCCATGTTCTTAATACAAATGAAATTAATTAAACGTTCTCTCTTTCTAAACCTATTTTCTCTCTGAATAATATTCATATTCTCTACATATGTATATATTGCGGCATATTTTCAAAGCTCTACGTTGCACTCGTCTTTCTCTAATGAATTCTAATTTTTCTGTGATTTACACTTAATCTATTTATGTCAATAACGACGTTAATGCGACACACAAAAATCTCTTTTTAAGAGATTGATATTTCTTTTAATCTCCTCTGTCTTCACACATCTTTCTTCGCTCTATTCTTAATTACAAGGTTCTCTCTGCGATACTCATTTTTCCTTGCTACCGGCGATTTGTACATACATACAGGGATTAAACCAGCATCATGTCTGACATGTAAAGGTGTGTTTATCCCCTTGTGAGTATCTTCGATTCTATACCGTTTATCGTTTGTCATATGCAGAAAACTGAGAAAGGGGAGAAGCTCGATGCGAAGAAAGCGAAGGCAGCGAAGGCGGCGAAGGAAGCGAGTTACGAGCTCCCGGAGATTCCGGATTACGAAAGGGCTGTTCTGGAGAAACCTCAAGAATTCGAATTCGGCGAACATGTTCGTCGTGATAAGACGAAACTCGAGAGACCGGTTACGCAGGTGAGAAACCAGTCAAAATCTCTGTTCATAAACGATTTTTTATTATATATATATATATATATATATATAATTATTTTGTCATAAAAACATATTAAATAATAATTTAAGAAATAACAAAGCTACGTCGAAAAATATATTTTATAATTAATGATTTATAAAAAATTTATAGAAAAAAATGTATATTAATTTAAATTAATAATTTAAATTAATTAAAAAATGTATAGCGCAATAAGTTATCTAAACGTCAATCAAATTGAAAACTAATTGTGTATCTTTTTTTTGTTTTCATGTCGCCGTGCAGAAATTCGATTCTAAGGTGAGCAATTGTCGTTTATTAATAACAAAGATAAAATATGATTTTGCCAAATTGCCAAACTCATTCGCACGAGGAATCCTGCAAATTTCGCAATTGCCACGTCACTTGAGGACGTCTTGATCGCGCTTTGCGATACGCGGTTCAGGATAATTAATTTTTACGCCCGATTTACGAACGATTTAATTATAGCCGAGGTATAAACCTACATCGCTCGTAAGCTTGGAAGGACGGTAAATTTTTAATGAATCGTACATCTATAAATATGATACTCGTGCAGAATGACACAAATAATATATAATAGGGTCATACACAATTTTACATGTATAATATAATTTTATTATTATTTTATTTATGTATATGTTTTGTTACTACTTTTAATTTTTTAATATTTTTTGAAATATGAAGTATATAATTGTTATATCTTAAGTTATGTTTTGTTAAATCAAAATTGGCGCAAAATTATTCGAGATATCTAAGAATTTATTTCTTTATCTACTTTATATTAATTTCATTTTGTAAAATTGGATCTCTATTTTCGAAATAAGCAGTCCACTGACCACCAGTGACAGTACTGGTATCTTTTCCAGAATTGCGACAAAATGTTATTCTGCCATGAAAACCGACATGTGAATGACATTTTGTCGCAATTTATTTTCTGTTCTTGTCGAAGACGCAGTGCCCCCGCGCCATAAATATCCTCGTTCCACCTGCATAATCGCAATTAACGCATTGCGAATGGATGGGGAAAGGGGCAGGGGAGAAAACGGAAAGGGGTAATAATCAACCGGTCCGAATCTCGCCTTGGCAAGCGATGAATGCCTCCTATGCAACGCGCGCCGCGCCCGCGACAAAACTATTTTGGCGAATAAATGCTCGTATATCATCCCCCTGAAAATCGGTTTCTCGTCGTCGTCGTCGTGAACGAGGATGGGAAAAACGATCGCTATTTTCGGCCTTATTATACGATCCGATCTCCAACTCGGATTCGAATCGCAGGGTCAGTCGTAATTGCCCTACGCACGCGATCGGTTAATGCGAATCTCGGATATTTCGATATTTCGGCTGATAAAATCTCAACATTTGGGATATTTATCGAGTAATGGCTCTTTATTAATAAACCAAGTAATGGCTCTTTATTAATAAACGAGTTATTAAAGTGTATTTGTGGATTAAACTAAAGCTATCAAGAATTGGTTAACGTAACTGTGATACTGTTTAGCTTTATCAATTCATGAATGTCATGAATTTATTAATTTAAATTTTAAAAATGTGATTTGTATTTGTTAAATTATATATTTCCTTTTTTCCAATTAATTATATAAAGGAAAAAAATTTTATCCACAAAATTATATATTATTGATGAAACGTACGGGGCTAATTTTTTTTATTATCAAAGAGAAAGAGATTAAATTTTATAGTTACGTGTAACAGATGTGATCTGAAGAAATACTGAATTAACTATCAAAGTTTAAGAGAGCTTTAACTTTTTGCTTAATCTTTTAAACGAGCTTGATAGAAAGCAAGTGCTTTAAATTGATCAATTTTCGATCGTGGTAGCCGAAGTTACCGGAGATTAAAGCGCCTGAAACACCCAAGATCGAAGTTATCAGGGACGTGACACCGGTCGGCAGCAGAAAGGGCTCTTTAGCACCCGGAAGCGGTACCAGCAGTCGACGTGGTTCGCTCATACCGCCCGAGGAATTGGGTCGTAGGCCCAGCTTGATCATTAGTGACGAGGTATGTTACGGAATGTATTGTGTGATCACCAAAGTATGTAGACTACCTTGTAGGGGACCGAGCTGAAGAATGCAATAAAAACATAGAGTGACGTATTCTAATTTTTCCAAATTTTCAAGAAAACTTATTTTATTTTTAATTTATAAATTATAAGATATGCGACACAATGTAAATTATAGTATTTGCAAGTAGAACTATTTCGATTTAAATGTTAAAGCATCAGTTAATTTAATTATTCAAATTACACAAACAGAATTTTATGAGCTTAAAAACTTTGTTGCATTCTTGTGCGCTCACGAGAGATCACCCAGTTTGCTTTACAGAAATCTCATTGGTATCTAAGGAAACGCATCGTTACTGATCTTGTTAATTTATTGGAAGAATCTTGTCAAATCGCCAGACACATTGTTCCAATTAGCTTCAAAGTCCAGTTATAAATGACTGTGACGCGAATCTATTTTAATAGAATATTAAATCACAAATCAATATTAAGGCCTCATTAAGGCTTGATGGATTTAAGGCCTCCTCTTATAATTATAACTGCATTACCAAGAAAATTATTTTCATTCGCAGTTATTTGTTAATAAAGCAAAGAGGGTGATACGACACACTTTGCACATTTGAATATACATATATAATTACTAGAATAATTTAGAAAATTTTCTTTTTTATTTAATAATATCTGAGAGAGATAGAATTATATTGAACATAAAATGCCTATATTAAATTAATTGAAAATATATTTATTGATTTAATAATCTATGTTTTTATATAAATTTTGAATTTCTTTAAATTAATTATATATATATATAAAATGGTTCATGATTTTATATATATATATATATATATATATATATATATATATAAAATCATGAACCATTTTTTGTATTACAATATATTATATTATACTGAATATATTTCAAAGTGCAAAGTGCTTGTACTCAGTCCTATTAGGTAGATGATTAACGAGTCGCGTAAGACACTCGACGAACAAGTAGGTAGACTGGCTACTGCTGGTTGGCCCTAGGGTTTTTGTAGCTTTTTTTTGAGTTTTTTAGTGTAAGTCCAGTGATGGTCTTAGTGATCGTACTCGTGATAGATACGCGCCGTGAATCCCCGACGACGAGCTCGTCGAGTGACGCACGTTGCGTTTAGTGTCAGCAAGGCGTGAGATTTAGATTAGTAACCCCACGTCAGCGAAAGATCCAAGAATTGACCAGCTTCTGAAGCATACTCCTTCCGTCCGTCGTCCTTTCCCTCGAGAAAAATCGAGTTCCACTATCTCCTGCCGTCAAAGATATTTCTCCCAAAATGAAAAAGAGAATGGAAAGCAACCTGCGATATGTAATATCGAGGACGTCCGAGATCGGTGCATATCGACTTGCGAAAGGCAAAGAACCTGAAGAACGGACACTTCCTGAAGAAGAACGTTGAAGAAACGTCGGATAATTGCCGATTATGTGGATTACCTCAGCTGAGAGCGAAACGATCGAAAGCGTTCCCCGCATGAAAACTCGCATCGGATATTTCACTACTCCGAGACAAGATCTCACTCAGATTTTGCCTTAAAATAAATCTTTCTAAATTATAATTAGCGTTACAACCTTAATAAATATTTTTAGCTTGACTGCTTATAACTAGATGCCACTTTCAGGAATGAAAATAGCAGAAAAGCATTAATTAAAGTTACTAAAATTAAGCAGATGCACAACTTGATGCAATTAATTTCAGTCAATTTCCCGAGACTTGGTTCGGTTTCAAGATAAAGATAAAGCGGGGAACGCGCGTTTCGATATGTTTTAACAGAGCGGTAGGACGAACGCCGGCCGATCGGAACGACCATGTTATACGTAATTTAGACATGTTGCAGCAGTCGTACATTGTGTATACTTACGCAACACACACAAACACACACGTGCACAATACAACTACCTTTACCTCGCAGTAGTGGTTAATAGAGATTTGGTCCATAGGAGCATAGGAAGCTTCGTCCCGGCGAGGTGGTGGACGAGCGCAAGGTGAGATAAATCGCTGAGAGAAGCAACGCGAAAGCGAATGTCTCGTCTCTGCAACCTTATTCGAACTACCAAAATGCACTTATTCTACTTACTTTTCTCACACACTCTTTCGGAGTACACACTCACCGGAGTATCGCGCAAAGAGAATCAGTCTGCATTAACGGAAAAATCGCATTAAGGTGAACTGTGTTTAATGCGATTTTGTTATCAACGGTAAAACTTCTTGTATCCGATTGTCTTTGCCCGATCTTGCCTGCTCGTTACTACTATTTACTCACTGTGGTCGTTATACTTTATGGCACTCGATGCACGAAATCCACACGCGTCGTCTCGAATTTAATTCACGCACACTTTATGATGATAATACACGGTTTGATTCTGATTAATATAAGTATAAGAATGGTTTCACTTTGATTAATAAGTAAGTTTCACGTTATCGGGAGCAAACAATTAAATTCCCGACGATGACGTGCAAACGTTCACGTGAGAGAGTTTCAGCACATTTTGTTTTTACGGAACATATTTCTTCCTATAATATACCTCTTAATGGACATTTTGAAAGATATCCTGTCGTTTAACTTGTTCGAGTAAAAGATGCTGTGGCGAAACTCTCGCACGTGTCTCTCGATGTTTCGAGACATACGTAATCCAAGATCTGATCAGCGAATAAAAAAAGACAAATGCATCTCTGCATCTGGCACGGATCTGTTGCAACCGATATGCATATTGCCACTCATGACGACAATAATAATAACAACAATAATATTAATTAATAATGCGAGATGTGAGGAGCGAAGGAAGCCAGGGCTTGTCCGTGTGCGCGCGTCGAGTTATCAGTTAATCACTCGCATACAAGGTTTCGAGTCTTCTCTGGCTTACATCTTCACCCGATAGATCACCTGGGTGATCTTGGCAAGCATCGTGCCGTCGTAGACACACATCGACGCTAATAAATGTCCCGAGCAAGCGCGACAAGACGTGTGAATCATGCCTGACGACCGAGCGTTTTCATCGCCCGCGTGAAACACTTGTTACCTCGCTTTCAGCCAGCGTCGAACGTGCATCGCTATCAAGTTCGAATTGTCTTGCACACTAATCAGGCAAATTCGACTATTTTCGTCGCACGAAAGTGGAAATGCCAGAGATTCGATCAAACTCGATTGGAATTTGCTAAGTCGATAGATTGTTCCAAAAATCTCTTCCAAAGATTTGTGACAAAGTTTCGACCAGTAGTATATCGAAACTATAATTTATAGGTGTAAATATAATAGTTATTACTTTTACTTTTCATTTTTAAATATAAAATTTATTACCGTACTTATTCGTACGGTATATTGATGTAATGGTAACTTCAATGAGGAGATAACGCCTCGTGACCATCGATACGCCCTTGCTTCTGTAATCGATTATCTTGAATCTTCATTGTTGTAAAAAATCAATAATTAACATTAAACGGTTCTAATAAATTTACAAAATAGCGATTATATATATAAAATTGTGATGAAATTATAGTATAAAATTGTAACAAAATTCGTATGAGTGTAACAAAGAATTTTCGACGTGACAGGTTCGAGGTAATCGAGATGCAGTTCTTAAATTATCCTTGCGAATGAGGATTCGCTCTTCAAGAGATCCGTCTCTATTATGCGATAACACGCAATCACACGCGATTACACGCGATCTGGTTGCATCTAAACTCACTGACAATTAGCTATATGACAATGATGATATCAGCTGACAACGCGCACCGCCGAAATCGCACTGTCTATAGCAATGCACCGCACAGAAATGCAAACGCACAAGCCGTCGCAACGTCGGTAAGGCGAGCCTCGAACAGCCCACCAGCCCCCGTTTGTATTCGTCCATCGCGAGATCTCCTCTCGTCCCTCCAACCCTTGAACTTTCATCCGTATCCTCGGAGACTTACCGAGATTCTGCCTCGAGCGAATAATAAAAGCAGCCGCGTTTTTTAACCCGGCAAGAGGAGACGCAGTTCTCGCCCCCTCGTTAACAGAAACAGCGAAGCCAGCACGCAGGAGCATTTTTGTTTTCCATTTTCGGAATCATCGCTTTTTGCCAACTGTTTCTGTGAAAAGAGAAGAAGGTTATTTTCATATATGTCTGTCTTGTATAAATCTATCGGGAAGCGTTTTTAACAAAAATCCGTGTTAACAAAAAGCAACAAAAGGAAATATCTCTACGATGACGAGCAGTCACTTGACCCTCATGTGTTCGTCTCTGTGATTTTTTGCAGTTGGGAAAGTTACGGCCCGGTGAGGTGTTGGACATAAAGGTGAGATTTGTGTTCGCTATAACACAAAGCTTACCTGCTCAGAGTCACCATCACCAGCAATCTTCCGTATCATGTATCGCTCTGTTTTTTTTTCCTTTTTGTCTTACGGACACCAACCACCCTCTTTTAGATTTTTGTATTTTTCTGCGCCCGCCCTCCCCTTAAGCCCATATAATTTTTAAGCGCCGTGTTTCGTCCCCTTGTCGCCTACAGAAAGACAAAATAATATGAAAGCCCAGTAACTAAAACGAAAACTAAAAATTCGGCGAGGGAAAGTCCCCAGTGAGAGAGGCAAAAGCAACGCCACGCGTTACCACGGGACGGCAATAATAATATTAATAATAATAATAATGACGATATGACGATGATATTAATAATAATTTAAAAAAAATAATTCTGCGACATGTTTTTTTTAACTGAGGTTTTTGAGGTTGCTGCTGCTGCTGCTGCCGCTACTGTAAACACGCTAGCCCGCTATTTTCTCAACCATCGCGGTTTAATATCGTAATTTTTAATAAACCGAGAGCATATTGGCAAGCAATTTACTGATCAATAATCTGAGTTTTCTTTTCTCTCACATGGAAAAAGGAATTATCCCTCTCCCCCCATTATATCGAGCACAGTCCCAGGATAAGAGTTCATTTCGCGTGGAACACCCCCCTCAGAAATTGAGAATTCTAATATCTCTCTCTCTCTCTTTCTGTCCCCGCCCCCCTTTCTATCTCTACCTTTCTGTCTCTATCTCATCTTTTATTTTTTCACGCACCACACACAGACTAAGCTCGGCCGACCAGGCGCGCTGCAAGAAAAAGAGGTTAGCACAATATCTCTGTTGTGCGTTGTACGCATATGCATATTTTTATATTATTTTGTATTATATATACGTTTATATATATACGTTATCTCGATATTATTTTCTTATTATTGCTTAAAATTTGGAAACTGTTTATACAGGATATTTTTGAATAGCTTCCAAAAATTTTAAAAATTTATCGATTTGAAAGTTTGTTAATTAATAAGATATTACTAATTTTAAATTAAAAAATTTTAATTTCAAAATTAAGCTTGGTCAAATTAGTCAGAAAGTAAAATTTTATTACGATGCAAAGGTCCGCTAATTTCTTTACAGTTTTGTGAAGAAGAAATCGCTCTTGAATTAGTTAACTTTATTATACAGATAAAGTTTTTGGATGCTATTCTTAAACCTGTATGTTCAATAAATATTTTGCAAAGAGCACTTTCTCGCGAATAATCAACGCCGACAAGATGTGCTTGCAGACGGTGTTTTTCACGTTGCACCGATTTATATGCGAACTTTGTAATTAGAATTAAAAATATGGATCGGTTCAATGTGTGTAACGCCTGAGGAAGCCCATTGCGATCGCGTTGCGGAAATTCTGCTTCTTAGTTCGAGCGGATACACCTGTACATTTTAACCAGCTGTATAGATGCAGTATAGATGTAATTGTAATGGTGGTAAGAGATTGGATAATTTACGTTACAAATAATTCGTAGGAGAAAGCAAAAAGCTGATATTATCACTTATCGATTTCGTTGTGTCTCGAGAAAATTGTTCATGCGAAATCTACCACCATTAAAAATTAAGTAGTTGCAGTACAACTCGGTATCAGACTTGTCGCAGTAGTGCAAATTTATTTTAGTGTCCACGGTTACTCCAGCGAATGAAATATGTAAAACGTTCGAGGATTTGTTTCGTAAATTGACTTTAATTTAACATCTAACAAAATAAGTGTTGCTAAAAATAATTTATTATTTATGCAAAATTATTTGCATAAATTGTTACATATCGTAAATATGTTACAAATCTTTTTATAATAATTTGGCCTTTTAAGAAATCGATGTTGGAGATTCCGGTTCTCTTCTGTAATTTTGCATATCGCTGCGATAGATTTGAGACCGAGCAGTTTGCTCCTATATGTCAAAGATATATATATGTGTGAAAATAACTTATTCATGTAGAATTTTATGTATAGGTGTAAATATCGTGCTCACACTATATGTGTCAAATAGATTCGATCGAAATATTCTCATTTTCATCGTCACGAATACGATGTCGCTCTTTAAAAAGAAACATTAAACTCGTTTTGTCATGTTATCCGATAAAAAGTACGGCATCGTATTTGTGCATATTGTGTAGATATCGTAACGTGTCTCTTTGTAAATAATCCTGATAACTGAATTTCCTGTTAGACGAATATTCGAACGGCAATTTAATTGACGAGGATCAGATTGGTCCACGGAGCAAGTAATCACTTTTCATCGTCAAAGCAGTAAAAATAGTCATTCATGTCATACACATCATATCGAATCCACATTTTACTCTCTTTCCTAACTTTCTGTTAATTCTCTTAATGTATTTCCGTACTCTAACATCGAACGGCTTGCGAAGACAGGCCAGAGATATCGCTAACGATGCCTTAGCGTAGATTATCATAAAATAGAATTAGATTACACTAGAAGGGATAAGTAATTAAATACGAAAAATAGTATAATTTAATATTATGATATAATATTGCAATATTAAATTTAATTTTTTAACTTTTTATAATTCCAAAACAGAATAGTTCTTTATTTTGGATTTATATCTTTATTCTGCGAAATTATCTCTTCTTATGCAATTTAATTCTGCCTGAAAGTCTCTTGACCGACGACGATTTCATGTAAATAATGATTAACTATTATATTATTCCGGCTTTAAATTCTCCCACGCGTAACTCGTGATTCGCACTTTCGCTTTGCGATTCACACATCGTGACAAATGCGTTTTGTCACGATTTCACGCTGAATGTGCACCGACGCACATATGTCACATTCTCATCATCGTAAAAACATGTACTTCACCATTTCACATTTGTTTCTAAAGTTGAAGGCAGGAATGACGTAAAAATATCTACAGCTGAACTTTGATGTACTGTTTATATTTTCCATTATTAGGATGATCATGCTAATTTTTAAAAATTTATTAAAATTAATATTATATATATATATATATATATAATATTTACGCTTTCTTGTTTTCAACTTCTTTATTCATCTGATTAATATGTTTCCTTCTGTTTCCTCTGTCCGACTATACGTACTCTCATGCGTATTCAAGGGATTCTTACACGTTTAGTTAATTATTCATCATGAATCATTTGAGGTATTTTCTTTGCATGCAAACGAAGAGAAACATGCAGAAATGAAAGGCAAGTAAGTTGACTGTGTCTAAAATTTCTGAAATAATTTATTAAAAAATATAAAAGCGAAATATGATAATTTAATTCAATTAAAGATAAACAATACAGTTAGTCGCTAATTTCACAAAGCTGTTGTTAAAAATTATCGTTAAGTAAGGAAAACCCTTGAAATCGCAATGATTATACGTGATTAGAGTATTTACATACCACAGAAGTCACTAAGTCATCATGTGAAATTACCCATATTTATCGATCCCGTCTTGCTAATCAATGTACTCTGAGAAAAGGACGTATTTTAGCATTGTCACTAATACTATTAAAACTCACTCGAGTGACTAACATACAGTGGACTAATGAGTGAAACGTAACGCTGATTAATAATGTGAATTAACTTTAATTGTAAATAACATTAACTCACAATGTTTAAATGTAAATAAACGTAAGTAATAATTAAAATGTTCAAAATATATGAAATCGCATGAGCGCTGCAGATTTTTCCACCGATAACGACGACTTCCAGTTTTTTTTACTTTTTTATTAATTTCTGTTTAGCAAGGAAATAATTTATAAGAAATAATAAAATCAGTTTTTATCGTCACGAGATGGAAATTGAGATCAAGGAAAGCACTTGTAGAGAATAACTAAATGTTCATCTAACTATATTTTGTGTAATATTATTATGTAATATTATTAGGTACGTAACATCTATATGTATTATCATTTATATGTATTAACTACGTCAAATCGTAATTTGCGTTTCTTTGATCCTGATTACATTATTGATGTATCGTGGACGAAATCAGTTTTAATCTTATGTGACTGTCGGAAGTCGTCGCGCGTCATGCTTTAAATTTTTTCGCTTTTATTCAAGAGCTTTTCAATGTCTACATTAAAAACACGATGGCAAAGTGCATATGAATTTGCTCATATTTTTATTCGAATGGTACAGCGTCGTCGTCCGAGCACAGCGGACGTCAGAAGACCCAGCGTGGCGGACCTCGAGGCTATGATCAATTTACCTAGCACACCTCTGCGAGATGTTGGACCAGGTGGACCACCCCAAATCGTCGATGTTCAGGAGTCGTACTCCGCCGTCGAAGGTGATGCATCTTGTTTTTTAGAGCCTGTAGAAAACTTTGAGAAAATAATTTTCCCAAAATCGATATAATTGCAGCAATATAATAATAATGTCTTACATTATAAAATCGTTTTCTCATTGTATTATACTCTTGTCTTAAGAATATTAATTCTATTGGCATTCTTTGCAGACTCGACGGCGTATCTCACCGTTGCGGTGGAGGGCAACCCCGCGCCAACTTTCAAATTCTACAAGGGTATCACCGAGATCATCGAGGGTGGCCGCTTCAAGTTCCTCACGGACTCAGAGACCAACACGATCACCCTCTGCATGAGGAAGACGAAGCCCAACGACGAGGGCACTTACAAGATCGTCGTGAGCAACATCCATGGCGAAGATTCCGCTGAGATGCAGCTCTACGTTTCCGGTGAGTCGATTTATTGTTAATTTCAAGCTCGAATAACGAATTAAAAGTATAAACATCGAACTCTTCTCCATTTAATTTACTTATATCCGAAAAAATAGACACTTTATATATCGCATCTAATTTAATATGTAATATATTCTAATATTTTAAATATTATATAATGATGGCACAAAACTTGTGTGTGTACTTTGTTATTTTAAATTTACGTATCTATTTGATTTATTGAATGAATTTTATGACAGACGCCAGTGGTATGGACTTCCGTGCTATGTTAAAGAAGAGGAAATACCAGAAATGGGCGCGAGAAGAGGCCGAGCAAGAAAAGGTAGACTTGAAGGAAGTCGAGAAGCCCATGCCGGCGTTGAAGAAAGTGGAAAAGGTACGTGTTATTCAATTCTACATATGTACATACATGCATACATACATATGAAAATGTAAAAAATTAAACTAAATGTAAAAAATTAAGTTAAATTTATAGTCAAGACTGAACTAAAATTTATATAGGTATTATTCAACTTATGGATATCTTCTTTAAAATAGGTTTAATCCGAATAAAATCGTTTCGCGTAACATTTTCAAACATAATTGATTATGCATCACACTTACAATCGCCATAGATGCAATGCACATAACGGGGCTGTGCGAATGCGATTTCAGCACGTCATTAACAGCCTGATCTTCATGAATGTAAAAATAGGTGACATGTCGATGTTAGATATGTAATGTAAATTTAACGCCGTCTGTTAGATTATTTATTTTATAAATCCACGTTCTAATTCGAAATTCTCTTTTCTTTTTTATTTCCATTTGACAATTATATTACAATAACTATACTTTTCCACATTTAATTGGAGAAAAATTAAAATAAGGAGAATTACATTACATAATTTTTTTCATTTAGCATAGCTAACTTACAATTAGTAGAAAAAAATGAATATACATAATTTTTGAAGAAGGTACATCTTCAAGGTCTCGAAGTGCATTTTCTGCCTGTTCCTTTCTCTCTGTCTTTCTCTTCTCTTCTTTGTCAACCTCTGTCTCCTAGTCGCTACGAAGCGATCTGCACGAAGGATCGAGCTGGTACCAAGAGGGCGAGGAAATAGTCATCTTAACAGCGGGTGTGGAGATCTTTCGAATTTCCCTCGTCAAAAAGGGTGAAACTAACTGGAGCTGGCTTAAGGTCTTTTTCCGAGCGATCTACATAATAAACCCCATAGTGACGATGGCAGTATATATACAATTTTAAAATATTAACGAGACGTTAGAATCTAAAATCTGCCTTCAGAAATTTCTTTAAACGTTTAAATATTAAATATAATAATAATAATTAATAATAGAAATGAATAATTTTAGAACAATGAGAGAACTAGAAAATTATCAAAATATTTTGAAACTATATTCTCGCGGCATTATTTTGTCAAATAAATTCTTTATTTCCCTCCTGCCACTACTTTGTCGCGCAAGCGATATAACTTTTTTTATTTTATTTTAACATATGCACTTTTATGTATGGTTTAGAGTTAATGCTGCACTTCGAATTACATCTATCCCTCTTTGCTTTTTTAAAAAAGACTTAAAATTAACATTTGCTTTTTATAAAAATTGTATGAATTATATTGCAAAGATTAATTTTTATTACATGCGCACTGTGAGGGCTAGTTGTACATCTCTACATTTATCGCACATTTTTCTATTAACAAGCACGATAATTAACGTAAATTGAAAAGCCTGAAAGTCGCTGGTAGAATGTAAACTATTGATAAAACGTGTGACAAAATTGGCATTATTCTGAACCCGTTGCATGTGACAATTGCATCCTCACATTAGGAGAAAAGCATTATCTCTAAACGTGTAGAAGTATCGTAGGAAAAGATAAGGACTCTGATATAATGAATTTCACGGTTCTGAATAAAAAAATATTCAACAATAAAATACAGATGACTTGATGATAGGGACCGCATTACGAATTAGTACTATTTTTCTTCAGAATTTTTTCATTTTTATTAAATATTCCTTTGAATCAGAGTTCTTCGGTCGGTATTGGCTAATTGTATAAGAGTGGCCATTAACCATTGATGTGTGTGTGCCGGGCATGCAGGACATCTTCGACATTCAGCGCAGGCCAAGTTTGCAGGAGCTAATCGTCGACTGGCCAAAACTAGCGGCACACGCCAAGGAGAAGGTTCGCGAAAAAAAGTCTTAAGGCAATGCATCCTTGCATTAGATTCCAAAAAGCCACGAAACAGAGAGCAGAACCGCCCCGCAAGGCTTTCACTTCCTGCGCGGTATTCTGGTCAATTAAACTTGAATGTATCACAGTATATGACTATTTAAACATTGCATAAGAAATTATCTAATTGTTTAAAGGTGTACGAACTAAGAAAGATAATAAGATAAGTTGTTTCCGTAAGATTTTTTACGTTTCGTTACGTTGTTATTATAATTTGCCAGAATACCCCCGTGTTTTTTGGATTTTTCTAAACCTGATCTTTTGAGCGAGATAAGACATAGAAATTCTGTTGTAACACAGCAAAGAAATCGGCTCTTGCGCGATATAGGGGTTCAAAGTAACTGTGATTGATCTCTTTGTTTTATTGAGGCAGGTGTTACATCAATCCGACTGAGGATGTAAACCGAATAAATCGATGAAAACGAAAGCCAGTCAGTTATTCGCAAGAATTTTATATCTGCATTGGTTCCGATAAAAAATTTCCGAGTGAACGATATAAAGTTATATAAAAATTTATAACTTTTTCGAAGGATATTTTAAAATTCTTGCGACTATTTACGATTGAGAGATCCCTTTGGCCTGCGCTTTTCTAAATAATCTCTAAAAATTTTGGAAAACTATGGAACAGAGGCACAAGTATAAATTTGTTGATATTATTCATGAACTTTTACACAGATTAATTAAAAATTAATAAACTGCGACTGAAACGTCCATGCATTTCACGCTTGGCTTAATTAAAAACGAGCCTTATTGTCACATAACGCTTATCATCATGCATGCACACGCTTTCATGAATGTTTTCAAACTAAAACACATAATGTAAAGCATTAGTTAAAGTTTTATAATTTAAATAAATTATATAGATTTATTATTTAAATAACATTCTTCTTATTATCGCACTTCGCTCTGTTGAGTTATGTGACTCACTTATCTAAAAAAACTATTAATAAAAATGGATTATTGATTAAAAATGAGCTATATTTGCGATATTCGAATAATTTAACATTTATGATAATAATTATATATTATGTTCAATAATATTTAGTAATATTTAATGTAGCATTTTTGATATTATTTTAATTTTATAACAACTTAACTAGCTAATAGCTTAATAATTATTGTAATTATTACAATCGTTTAATGATTGTAATAATTACACAATTAATCGTGCATAACTCATAATGACGAGTAGCGACGATTTATTCAGAAAGTCCGAAATAACGACACTTATAAAATCAAGTACGAATAGGGCTAACAATGACAGCTAAATTCGGAATAAATGTTCATCGTAACTCTCCGTTGAAAGCGATCAGCGAACAAGATCGACACGATGTGTTCTGAGAAGATGCTGTGATCGCGGATATGCCTTTTCTTGTTTCTAGAATAGTGGATCGCGTAGGCCTTCTCTGGCCGAATTAATACCCGACTGGCCAACCCTGCATCCCTTCACCAAGACGGAGGTTGGACCGATTTTCCCACGTGAATCGAACTCCCCAGCAATAATTTCACGTGATATTGATTGTCTGTTATGCCTGTCGCTGTTGCCTCGACAGTCTCCGAAACTCGACGATCTACCTATCTATCTTCTTTCTCTAATTCGCTCGAGAACTAGCTTTATCTCTCGACGACTCTCTCTTGTACAAATTAATTGTTTCAACCCAAATTCTACTGCTGTCTCTTCTGCCTTCGATTAATGAATTCTATGTTAATTATTGAAGATCAAAGTTACATCGCTTTATGTTGCACCTTTTGGCTCGATCTATAACTTATTTTTTCTAATCTTTCTTTTATTTTCTGAAAGAATGTTCTGATTTAATTTTAAAATTTGTTGGGATTCTAATTTGTGACAAGTTCTCCCCATAAAAGAACTGTTAACTTTTTGACATAATTAGAAAAAAAAAGAAATTTACTTTCTTTCTTTTTAATTATTATTGATTACAATAAAATTCCAAACTAATATTTCATTAAGATATTTCTTGGATTATTATATAACCAAAAAAATTGTTAAAAATCAAGCTAGAATGTAAAAAAATACAGTATGTATTACAAATATAATATGTATTTATTTGTCAGATGCGAACTTAAATATTAAACATTACTTATCTAAAAATTAATTCCTTTCAATAATTTAGAGATTTACTAAGTATATTCTTTTAATTAGAATTAGGACAATTAAAACGTCAATTAAAATATTCACAGTTGGATTCCCTGGCAACAAATAATATCTTTTTCATCGGTGTCGTCTCTTGAATGTATCACAAGTAACGCCTTCTCCAGCAACTATCTTCTCGCGCATTTTGCTCGAGCAGTGGCGAATACTTTTTTATTTTTTTTCGAGGAAGCCAACATATTCTTCTCTTTCTCAAAACCGTTTAACACCAGATCTTAACAGTAATAAGCATGATAAATCACAGGCTTGAAAATAAACTTATCAAGCCAGTTCTGTCGACGGACGATCGACCGAACTTTTTGCAAACTTTTTTTCTCTAGAATTTCCTTCTAGAATTTCTTCTAGAGACTTCGTCTTCGTTCCTTTTTTTTCATCGTCCTCGCCCTCCGTTCATCTGCTCGTACGGAGAGGCAGCGACGTTATTTTTCGAGTTTTCCGCAGATTTTTCCTACTACCTTTTTTTTATAGCCTGGCAAAGCGATCGCTGTCGATGTTGAACAATACTACTATTGGATTTCTCAATTGAATCTCTGAATATGATTCACGGTTGATCGGTGGTCTCTCTTTCGCAGAAACAAGAAAGTTTCCTGAAGCCACTGGTGGATCAATACGCCAAGGAAGGCAAAGACAAGAAGGTCATGTTTGAAGCGAACTTTTCGAAACCGAACTGCAAGCCGAAATGGTTCTTCCGAAAGGACGTAAGTATTTTTTCAGAAAAATAATTGCTATTTAATTATATTTATTTTTACGAACTGTAGCTAATTACAACATTTTATAATCAGTAACACATTTTATAATCAGAAAAACAGATTAAAGATTGATACAATTTAAATACCTTGCTTTTTATGTAGGAATTATTCCCCTCGGCGAAATACAAATTCAAAAACGAGGAGGACTGCTATCAACTCATTATCACTGGACCCAAAGTCGAAGACACTGGAAAATATACGATCGAAATTGCCGGCGTATCCAGCACAGGTTTCCTCAATGTAGACGGTACATAATATATTTTTGATAAATCTTCTTTCTGATAATCAAACTTTTACATAAAATAAATTTTATATTTTAAAATTTCTTAAATTTCAGAGCCTGATCCATCGTACAACTTCCTGAAGCCGTTGTCGAAGAAGACCAGCGGCTTTACAAAGCACGAAGCTTACATGGAATGTACAGTCAGCTCTAACATGGCGCAAGTTTCCTGGTACAAAGGGAAAACGAAACTCGAGGTAATTTATTACGCCAAAAATTTAAATAAATATTTAATCAGAACGTCGCAAAATTAAAGATATCCCATTCTTGCTTTTAGGACGGAGATCAATACAGTATTTCCAAAGACATGACCGGCGTGTGCCGGCTGGCGATCAGGAGCGCAACTCTCGAAGATAGTGGCGAATACACTTGCAAGATAAACAAGCAGACGGACAAGACCGAAACTATCCTCACCATAGTCGGTAGGTGTTATTTTTATAAATCGCAAGAATTCAATTGTAATTTGTTATTTACGACTTTGTCTAAAATTTCAAATTTATATACGAAATTTAAAATTAATAATACTTTTTTAGAATATCCTTACAAGTTCGTCAAAGTACTAAAACATCAGCAGTTGATAGAAAAAGAAACCTTGACTTTGCTTTGTGAATTGGATGATGCCGCGGGTGAAGTCCAATGGTTCAAGGGTGACCAAGCGATTACGCCTGATAAAAGGTATTTTTTTAGAGAGATTCTTCAAGTTGAATTCATAATTAATTCCTTACGTGGTTTTCAATTTTGAGAATATTTTTTTAATAAATGATTTCTGCGCTAGGGTGCAAATCAAGGAAGAAGGCAGAAAACGAAAGCTCATTATTAAAGACAGTAAAGTCACTGACGCTGGACTCTATTCTTGTGTGAGTAACGCGGACAAGACCGAAGCTGAAATTGTGATAAACTGTAAGTATAATATCCTTTAATTATAATTAAATTATTATTCTTTAAAATCTTCGATTACTCTTAAGAAAAAAGATCGCACAATTATATATTTTCTCGTAAATTATAGATGCCAATCGTTTCAACAAGAAGCTGAAGGATACCGTTGCGGTGGAGAGAGAGAAGCTGGTGCTGGACGTCGAGCTTCAAGATCAGACCGCGCCGGCTGTATTCTACTTCAACGGCGAGAAGATCGAGCCCAATGAGAGAGTGGAGATCAAGAATCTGGGCGGCGGCAAGCACCAGTTGGTCTTTAATAGGTTGGAAATGACGGACGATGGTGAGATCATGTGCGAGAGCGGTCAGTTAACAAGCAGTTGCAAGCTCACTGTGAAGAAGGGCGAGAGCAAGCCGATCGTCGACTTCCCCGACAAAGTCGAAGGACCCTGCAGCGCTCCATTAGTCTTTGTCGTGCCTTTCAAAGGTAACGATTCACACTTGTGTGCGATATAATACAATTTAATAATTATGAATATAAAATGTTGAATTCTAAAAAAATTATGTTTTTGCGATCTCCAGTTGATGGCACCAAGCAGAGTCAAGTGGAAGCGAAACTGATGAAGGACGGCAAACCTCTACCTCTCAAGGACGTTGAAATCATTGTTGGCGAAGATAAAGTCACATATAAGATTAAGAAACCTCAACGCGAATCGTCTGGTGTCTACCAGATCAAGATCGGTAATAACCAGGGTGAAGAAGTGAAGGATGTCAATATAGTTATGCAAGGTTGGTATTTTTATAAGGCGGAACCACTTTTGAATATAAATTTTTTCGTGTATATTATATTTTATGTCTTATCTTTTTTTATCTATAAATTATTCCTTTTAGACGTCCCATCTGCGCCATACGACGTCGAAGTCAACGAAATCTTTCAGAATTCTTGCGTCGTGTCCTTCAAACCGTCAAAGGATGACGGCGGCGCCCCCATCACGAAGTACGTTATCGAGCGCCTCGATCTTAGCTTGAAGGCTCAATGGGACAGCGTGGGTGAAGTCATGCCGGGCGAGAAATGCGTCTACAAAGTCGAAGATCTAGTTGCAAAGAAGGAGTACAAGTTCCGCATACGAGCCGTGAATAAACTCGGTTCCAGCGAACCGGCATTGTTCGGCAAGCCCGTCTTAGCCAAGGATCCATGGGGTAAATTAATTGAATCGGATTAATTGAAATTTGTATGTAGAAATTAATATTAATTTTTACATACAATGAATCTTTGTCTTCTAAAAAAGAGTTAAAGGAAATAAATATCAACAAAATAATTTTAAATGTGAGATTTAAAGATAACAATTTAATTTGGTTATTTCTAATGATAATTTCATAATTTGTAAATAAGCCAGTGAAACAGAGTGCACAAAATAAACCAAGATATTCTTGTGTATTTCAGACGAACCGGGCAAACCCACGAACGTCGACGTAACCGATTGGGACAAGGATCACGCTGATCTGACATGGACGAAGCCCGAAAACGACGGCGGTGCACCGATCACTGGCTATATAATTGAATACAAAGAGAAGTTTGGCAAAGAATGGGTAACAGGCAAGGAAATCGAGGGCGACGTGACTCAGGCGACTATAGACGGACTCAAGGAAGGCACGCAATACGAGTTCAGGATACGAGCGGTGAACAAGGCAGGTCCAGGTGAACCGTCTGACGCCACAAAGCCGATTATCGCCAAGAGTCGATTTGTTAAGCCGTACATCATTGGCGATGGCCTCACGAACTTGGTCGTCAAAAAGGGCCAAGTCGTCAAGTACGACATTAAGTATGCTGGCGAGCCGGAACCGGAGGTGCACTGGTTCCTGGGCCAAAAGGAGATTATCCAAGACGCGGCCGAAAGAGTCACGATCGACAAATACGAGAGAAATACTGTGCTCACAGTCAGGAAAACCGTCAGATCCGATTCCGGAAAATATAAATTGGTGTTGACGAACAGTTCCGGCACCTGCGAGAGCGTCGCCGATGTCGTAGTTCTTGGTGAGTCCTACCTTATTAATATCTTGCAAAATTCTTTCAAACTAAATTACTATTTTTTTTATTAAATTAAAATAAATTTTAAATAAAATTTTATGCAAAATTTTTAAATTTACAATATAATTCACGATATGTATATTAACAAATGTTTAATTTGCGAAATTAAAGATTTTTAATTTTTAAGGAAAAATAGACATTTGAAGGAATTAATTTAAATTTATTTTTCAAGAAATATTTTATCATAATTTGACTTTTTAATTGTAGAGCATTAATCAAAATTTGTGTTACATTGCGTAAACTCATTATTTTTTTACAGACAAGCCGTCGATTCCGCAAGGACCTCTCAAAGTGGAGGAAGTTCGTTCCGATCACGTTAAAGTCAAGTGGGACACGCCGGAGGACAATGGCGGTACCGATATCACGGGCTATGTATTGGAAAAGATGGATCTCGATACTGGACGATGGATTCCAGCCGGAGAAACTAGCCCTAACGAAAGGGTTTTCACGTTCACTGGCTTAACGCCCAAAAAGAAATATAAGTTCCGAGTCAAGGCAGTTAATAAGGAGGGTGAATCCGAACCTTTGGAGGTCGAGGAAGCTATCCTCGCTAAGAATCCTTACGGTAAGAATACATCCGACATTTCTAATAATTAACACTTTTTCTGGACGGAAATAGATAATTAATAAAACTATTTTATAGAAAGTAATTAATGTTTGAAATAAAATTGAGCAACTTAACTAAATATCGTTAATTTAATTTGACTAATTTAATCTAATTTAATTAAATACTGTTAATGAAGTGACGCGTTTTAATTCAATTTCGTATAATATTTTTAACAGATGAGCCTGGTAAGCCTGGCAAGCCGCAGATCTTTGACTATGATAACGTCAGTGTATCTTTGAAATGGGAGAAACCAAAGAGCGACGGTGGTAGACCGATCACTCATTACACCGTCGAGATAAAGGACAAATTCGCCGTCGATTGGGTCGAGGTAATGAAGACCACCGACTCGACACCCGAGGCTAAAGTTGAAGGCCTTAAAGAAAAGATGGTATATCAATTCCGCGTACGCGCTCACAACAAGGCTGGTTCTAGCGAGCCCAGCGAGCCCACGGACAATCATCTCTGCAAACACAGGAATTGTAAGTTAAAGTCTTTGTAGTTCATAACTTACAATTAGTCATGTTGAATTACGGAGTTTCCATAATTATGAAAATATTTTTTATCGCATTGTTATTTGTAAAGTTGCAAACTCGCAAATTACTATAATATCACGAATTATCAAATCTGTTACAAATTTGTTTTTGTTAATAATTAAAATACGATGCATTTATAAATATTTTGTATTTTTTAATTAAATTACTGATTTAATTTGATATTTATATTTTATACATGATACTTATTAAAGTATAATTGTATGTTTGTATGAATGTTTAATTTATGAATAACAGTTTTCCTAAAAATTGCGAAAATTTTTAGTGAGACCGAGAATCGACCGAACCAATTTCAAATCAGTCATCATCAAAGCTGGTCGCACCCATAAGTGGTCTGTGGATGTATCTGGTGAACCTCCGCCGGAGACCAAATGGATCTGGAGAGATAACATCCCATTGACTACCACCGAGCGCATTAAGATCGACAATGTCGAGTATCACACGGACTTCACGATCGTGAATGCGATGCGTAAGGATACCGGAAAGTACACGTTGATTGCTGAGAATGCTAATGGCAAAGACGAAGAGACCGTCGAACTTACGGTGCTTGGTAAGTCTAATTTTTTTTATTTAATTTGTTCGCGACAATTATGTAAATAAAAATAATAATTTACCAATAATTAACTTGCCAAATCAGTTTATAAATAAAAGAAGAAAAGAATTCTTATAGAGAAATTTCTTCCCTTAGGAAAACCGGATGCTCCCAAAGGACCTCTCGTAGTCAGCGATGTCACCAATACTTCGGCCAAGGTGAAATGGGAGAAACCGGAAGACGATGGTGGTGTGCCGATCAAAGAGTACGAAATCGAGAAGATGGACACGAAGACCGGTAAATGGGTCAGGGTCGGCAAAGTGCCTGGAAACTCGCCAAACACCGAATTTGAAGTAACTGGCTTGAATCCTGGAAGCGAATACAAGTTCCGCGTGACAGCTGTCAATGACGAGGGTGATTCGGAGCCTCTGGAAAGCGAACGCGGCGTTGTTGCCAAGAATCCATACGGTAGATCGTTATTTTTCTTACGCTAAACAATACGTCTAATATTTATCGGAATAATTTAAAAAATTCAGATTTAAATTCAAATTTTTTTATTCAGATTTTAAATTTAAAATATCCGACGATCGTAATTGTAGCACTAATTGTAAATGTAAAATGTAGATAGTATTACGAATTTAAACTTAAACTGAATAATTTTCTTTCAGACGAACCTTTGAAGCCTGGAACGCCCGAAATCACCGATTACGATAACGAATCAGTAAGCTTGAAATGGGCTCCGCCAGAATTTGACGGAGGAGCGCCGATCGAGAAATACATTATCGAGAAAAAAGATCGGTACAAGCCCGATTGGGAAAAGGCTATCGAAGTCCCGGGGGATCAACTTGAGGGCAAAGTACCCGATCTGAAGGAAAGGGGTGAGTACCAGTTCCGAGTTATCGCCGTGAACAAAGCTGGACCTTCGCCTCCATCAGACGCATCGAAGATGCAGATTTGCAAGCACAAAGCTCGTGAGTTTCCATCAAATATAGATTATAATTATAATATAATTACAATTAATACACATATTATAACATGATGCATGATTACAGTTAATCATAATTTATAATTGCTCTTAATAATAAGTAATTAAGAAAAAGAATATGTAGAAAAACATTTTAAAACTTATTTTTATTATGTAAAAATTAATATTTTGTTAATAATAATAATCTTGTTTACTTCAGTGAAGCCGAGAATCGACAGGACGAACTTGAAACCAATCACCGTGCGAGCCGGCAAAACTATCAAATACGATGTGGATGTGCATGGTGAACCACCGCCGGAGATCAAATGGTATCACGCTGGCAGCGAAGTAAAATCCGGTGAAAACATCGAGATAGTCAACGTTGACTACAACACGAAGTTTACCATCACTGACTGCTTACGCAAGAACACCGGCGTGTGGAAGATCAAGGCTGTCAATCCTCATGGCGAGGACGAGGCGGAAGTCGAAGTGACGATATTATGTGAGTGGCGGATATCTGATATTTTTTTAACTAGCAGAATAAATTATATACATAATAAATACTTTTCTCTTTCTATTTTAATTTAATATTAATTTATTAAACAATTGTTTCTTCAATCTTTACAGCGGCTCCTGGAAAGCCAAAGGGACCGCTCAAAGTGGCGGACGTCACGAAGAACGGCTGCAAGCTCAAATGGGGTAAACCGGAAGACGATGGCGGCAAACCGATTACTGGATACCAAGTAGAGAAACTGGATAAATCGACAGGCAGATGGGTACCAGTCGGTCGTACCGCGGATACCGAGATGGATGTAAAGGGTATTCAGGAAGGACACGAGTACGAGTTTAGAGTAAAGGCTTTGAATGAAGAAGGAGAATCGGAGCCGCTCGTATCAGACGGGTCCACACTCGCAAAGAACCCTTACGGTAAGTTAAATAGTAATATTAAATTGATAAAAAAATTTTTTAATCAAATAAATTTTTAAAAAGTAGAAATTAATATTATAAAATAATAAAATTTTGTTAGAAAATTCAATATAACAATAATATAATTATTATAAAAGTGTCATTTAATACAAAACAAATATTTTATTAGGTGTATCTTTTTTACAGTTCAATTAATATTCTGCAATATTAATTAATATTTTATATTGATAAAAATAAAATCAAATATGTTCCTTTTGACAGATATCTCAAGCAAGCCTGGAACACCGGAACTCGAAGATTGGGATGTTGATCGCGTCGATCTTAAGTGGGAACCTCCCAAAGACACTGGCGGTGCACCAATTACCGGTTACATTATTGAAAAGAAAGAAAAACCTTCTTCGCAATGGGAAGAAGCTCTTGTCACTGACTCGCCACAACCAAAAGGTCGTGTTACCGGTTTGAAGAAGGGTTCCACTTATCAATTTCGTGTTCGTGCTGTTAATAAAGCTGGACCATCGGAACCCAGCGACCCAACTAAGCCGCACGTTGCAAAAGCAAGATTCCGTGAGTATCTCAATTTGATTAATTAATTACGATTATAAATATAATTCTCAACAATTATATACAAACAGTTCGAAACATTTGATAATTTCAAATTAGACAAATTATAATTTATAATTACATAATTTTATGTTAAAAATTAAAATTAATATTGAATTTATTTTTTAAATTTTATTTTTAATTTCTATTTTGATTTTAATTTAAATTTCTTATTAATTTAAAATTAAAAAATTTTATTTATCGCATTTCATACAAAATAAGAAATGTGAATAAGTATTGGATTCACATTTTTAATAATTATCACAAAATAAGTAAAAATAAGACAAGATTATATAAGTATTATTTCTTACAGTAAAACCACACATCAATCGTGATAAGCTGCAAACCATCAAAGTAAGAGCAGGTCAACTGGTGAAGCTGGAAGTCGATGTTGAAGGTGAACCTCCTCCAACAGTTACATGGAGTTTCGCTGGTGCACCACTCCAAACTGGAGCTAATGTTAAAATTGATAACGAAGACTACCTCACTAAGATCCAATTAACAAATACCAGTCGGAAGTTAACTGGCAAATATACAATCAAGGCTGTGAACGATTCCGGACAAGATGAAGCCGATGTGGAGATTAATATTCTTGGTAAATTTGATATACTTTGTATTCGTATCTCTTTTTTAACTTAAGTATTTAAAGAGAAATTTTCCGTGCTTTATAATATTTTATTATATATATGTGTATAAAATTCTGCATTTAATATTGAAATAAGAAATGCATAATGTAACTTTCTTGTATTTTTAAATCAAATAATGAATATAAATTTTATTAGGCTAAACTTTTGTTAAACTAAACGCACATTGTACAATGTAATACATATTTTATGGTATGAAATTTATTGTGTAGACAAGCCTGGAAAGCCGGAGGGACCGTTGGAAGTGACCGATGTGCACAAAGAGGGCTGCAAATTGAAATGGAGCAAGCCAAAGGACGACGGTGGACTTCCCTTGTCCAGTTACATAGTAGAAAAGATGGATGTGACGACAGGTCGTTGGGTACCGGCCGGCATCGTGGACCCTGACAAAACTGAACACGCAGTTACAGGTTTGGAGCCCGGCCACAAGTATGAATTCCGTGTGAAGGCTGTGAACGAAGAGGGAGAATCGGAACCTCTGCAAACCGACGTTGCCATCGTAGCTAAGAATCCATACGGTATAGTATTCTAATTTTAATTACAACGTTTGACACGTATTTATTTTTATGCGTTCTATTTTAGATTGAATAATTTTAGATATGCTGTAAGATATAGACATTTCTTTCCTACTTTCTTAATAGAAAAATTTGCTATAGATGTGTAATACATTGTTTTAATAATTATATATATAATATGTTAGGCTTTCCTTTTAATAAAAATCTATTTAGTGTATCATTCATTTGATAATTTTTTTAATTATTAAAAAAAGAATAGAAAAATTTACATGATACTTCTTAAAATATTTCAGATGCTCCAGCGGCACCTGGTCTTCCAGAGATTGTCGATTGGTCGGAGAACATGGTGAAACTGAAGTGGGAGCCGCCGATAAGAGACGGCGGTGCACCAATTACCGGATATATCATCGAGATGAAGGATAAATTCGGTACTAATTTCGTCAAGGCTGCTGAAGTGCAAGGGCCCGTATGTACTGGCACAGTTCCACGTTTAGAAGAAGGCAATCAGTATCAATTCAGAGTACGCGCCGTCAATAAAGCTGGCCCTGGTGAACCTAGCGAGGCCACCAATCCGCACACCGCTAAAGCTCGTTGGCGTAAGTGTATTGCTTTATTTTAATATCACAGCCCTTTAGAAAAAAATCAAAAATTATTAAAGATATTATTGTATAAATAATATTTTATGTAAAGTTTTATTTATTAACGTTTATTTGAATTTAAACTTTGTATTTATTTGCACGAAGAAAGCAGATTCATTGACAACTGATTTTTTAATTTTTACATTTTACAGTGAAACCATATATCGATCGCACGAATTTGCAACCTATAACGGTAAAAGTCGGCCTTACCGTAACCCTGGACGTAAACATAATTGGCGAACCGCCACCAAAAGTCACTTGGACCTTTAAGGATAAAGAACTCGTGTCGGATGACACGATACGAATCGACAATGTTGATTACAACACAAAATTCTTTATTTTAAAGACTAAACGTGCGCACACTGGCAAATACGTGATTACCGCGAAGAACGAAGTCGGCGAGGATACCGCCGAGGTAGAAATTACCGTTCTTGGCAAGCCCAGCAAACCAAAGGTAAAAATCTAACACTATTTATTATAATTATTACACCGACGAGGTATTATTATTAATAATTTTTTAATTATTACATGTATAATTATCTAGTTTGTAAGTTGTTTTGAAAATCGATAAGAGAATTAAATATCTCGTTTACAATTCAGGGTCCTTTGGAAGTGAGCGATGTTAACAAACACGGCTGTAAACTTAAATGGGACAAACCCGAGGATGATGGTGGTTCACCGGTCGAGTACTACGAGATCGAGAAGTTGGATCCTCTTACAGGGCAATGGGTACCTTGCGGTCGTAGCACCGAACCCGAAGCGACTATCACAGGATTGCAGGAGGGCAAACCGTACAAATTCCGCGTAAAGGCCGTCAACAGGGAAGGAGAATCCGATGATCTGGAAGCGGACAAGTCTATCATAGCCAAGAATCCATTCGGTACATATTCGATATCCAAAAATTTAAATTTGTAACTTAAAAATTTAAAATAAATTTAATTTCAAAATAATATAGATATTATATAAATAAATTTACGTATTTATTGCATATATTATGAAGCACTTTCTCGATTTTAGACGAACCGGGCAAGCCCGGTCGTCCGGAGCTGAAGAACTGGGACAAGGATTTCGTCGATCTCGAGTGGACTCCGCCCAAGGACGACGGCGGTGCGCCGATCGAAAAATACATCGTGCAAATGCGAGACAAAGAGGGTAGACAGTGGGTGGACGTCGCTAAAGTTCCGGGAGATCGAACGGCCGCTAAAGTGACCGACGGTATCCAGGAGGGTCACGAATACGAATTCAGGATTGTGGCGGTCAATAAAGCTGGACCTGGCGAACCTAGCGATACTTCCAAGAGCGTTGTGGCCAAGCCTCGATTCTGTAAGAGCGTCGTATAATTGGCTTTAGATGAAATGTATTTTTTGGATATAATAATTTATATTTAATTAATTTTGTCTGTCTGATGTTTATAGTGGCACCGCATATCGATCGTAAAAATCTCCACAAGAAAGTCATGCGAATTGGCCAGATGCTGCGACTTGAGGCCGACATCAAAGGTGAACCGCCACCAGTTGTCACGTGGAAACTCAAGGACACGGTGCTGAAGAGCATGGATCGACTCAAGATTGAGAACGAGGATTATCATACCATGTTCATCATCAATAAACTTCAGCGTTCGGACGCGGGCACGTATACCGTCATCGCCAAGAATGACAGCGGCACCGATCAGGTCGACATCGAGCTTCAGGTTCTGAGCAAGCCTGGCAAACCGAAAGGTCCGCTCGAGGTGTCCGACGTCACGGCCGAGGGGTGCAAGCTGAAATGGGATAAACCCGACGACGACGGTGGCGAACCAGTTGACCATTACGTCATCGAAAGGATGGATGTGGATACCGGACGTTGGGTACCGTGCGGTACCAGCAAAACTCCAGAGGCAGACGTGTCTGGTCTAAACGAGGGCAAGGATTACCAATTCCGTGTCAAAGCTGTCAACTCGGAGGGCGAATCCGAACCTCTGGAAACGTCCATACCAACGACCGCCAAGAATCCTTATTGTAAATATATTTTTTTGTTTCTATTAATCCTTAAAATTTTTTGAATTTATTAAATTATCCAGTATCTTTAATTATTTTTTAATTATATTGTAGTATGTTATTGTAGAAATAAGTTATAATAAAACGTTTGTTTATTTCTAACTACAGCTGAACCCGATGCGCCCAGCAAACCCGAGTTGAAAGACTGGTCGAAGAATCATGTGGATTTGAAATGGAAAGCCCCGAAGAATGATGGCGGTGCTCCCATTGAGAAATATATCATTGAGAAGAAGGACCAGTACGGCAAGTGGCAGAAAGCCGCGGAAGTTCCGGGCAACAAAACTGAAGCCAAAGTGCCGGATCTTGTGGAGGGTCAGAAATATCAATTCCGGGTTAAGGCCGTGAACAAGGGTGGCCAGAGCAAGCCCAGCGAGCCCAGCGAGACCCTGACCGCCAAGGATCGTTACGCCGCGCCCAAGATCGATCGCACGAACCTGAAGGATATCACAATCAAGGCAGGCAATGTCATTCGACTGGACGTGAAAGTTACGGGTGAACCGCCTCCAAGCAAGACCTGGTTCCTGAACAAGGCCAAGCAGGAATCCAGCGGAGTTCTGACCATCGAAACGGAGGACTACAAGACCAAGTTCGTTGTGTCGTCGGCGACCAGGGCGCATTGCGGCACGCTGACTTTGAAAGCGGAGAACAGCTCCGGCAAAGATGAGGCGTCCATCGAGATATTAGTGCTGGATAAACCTAGCAAGCCCGAAGGACCGCTAAAGGTTTCCGACGTGCACAAGGAGGGCTGTACTCTCAAGTGGAACCCGCCGGCGGATGACGGTGGTGCGCCTTTGGATCATTACGTGGTCGAGAAGATGGACACGGAGACCGGCAGATGGATACCGGTTGCACGCACCAAGGAACCCACGATGGCGGTGGAGAACCTGGTGCCCGGGCAGGAATACAAGTTCCGAGTCGCGGCTGTAAACGCGGAAGGCGAATCCGAACCGTTAGAGACCGAATACGGAATCGTCGCCAAGAATCCATTCGGTGAGATCAATTTATTAAATTTAACTTTTATTTAAATCGCTTTAACTTTTTAAAATTCTGCACGACGGAATATCACATAAATAAGATTTTAATTCCCTTGTTCTCATTATTTAAATGCAAAGCGATTAAAAATTTTTTCAGGCTTTAATAGACTTTTATTGATTAATGTTCCTCGAAATGTCTTATCTCTGCGTTTCTTAGTTCGGATAGCTAATATAAATTTTATTTATGCGCCACAGATGAACCTGGCGCACCAGGACGTCCGGAGGCGACCGACTGGGACAAGGATCACGTGGATCTACGATGGACTCCGCCGTTAAAGGACGGCGGATCTCCAATCACCGGATACGTGATTGAGAAGCGGGAGAAGGGCGCGCCCAAGTGGATCAAGGCGTGTGAGACTGGACCGGATTGCAAGGGCCGCGTCGACAATCTCGACGAGGGTGTCGAATACGAATTCAGGGTCAAGGCCGTCAACGCCGCCGGTCCCGGTGAACCGTCCGATGCCAGCAAACCGATTACCGCCAAGAGTCGAAGACGTGAGTCCATCATTTAAAGATAATTTAATTTTTCATCTTTTTCTCCTAAATAATTTTTAGAACTCTTGAAATACATTTTCTGATGTCAATTTAAAAAGAAAATGTCGCATCAGATTAAGAATTTTTTAATGTAAAAATTTGTGTTGGGAAACGAAAATTATTTTAGAAAATGTTATAGACAGGGATTTATTAATTGTAATTATTTCTTTTGTTTATTTAGTCCCGCCGAAGATCGACAGACGAAATCTGCACGATATAACCGTGCGCGAGAACGAAGCGTTCCACTTTGACGTTAAAATTATCGGCGAACCACCGCCAGACGTCACGTGGGTGATCAACAATAAGAGTATTCAGCAGACCACGCATCGCAGAATACAGAATGTGCCTTACAACAGCAAGTTCTTTAACGACAAGCCCGAACGCAAGGATAGCGGCACTTACAAGATCACAGCGGTCAATCAGCATGGATCCGACACCGCCGAAGTCGAAGTCACAGTTGTCTGTGAGTAATTTATATAAATTAATATTTTACAAATTTTTAATACAATTTATATATTATACATTTGAAGAAAATAACTATCAGTCTATAATAAATGAACCGTTCTATCTGCTGTATCTCTCTTTATCAAATATTAAATTATAACAAATGTATCGTTTATTCAAATTATATTGATGGTTTGAAAAAAACCGTATATACATATATATCTGCGCACTTTTACCGCGCCGACTCCTAACAGCCCTCTTTTCCACATATTTGTTCAAATATTAAATAAAAGTATTTAATATGCAATAATCTGTAATAAAAATTAATTCTTTGCGTGTAATCTTATTTTCTGACGACTAACAACTTAATCTAAATTTTGTTTGTTCATCAGCCAAGCCCGGCAAACCGGAAGGACCGTTGGAGGTATCAGACGTGCACAAAGAAGGGTGCACGCTCAAATGGAAGAAACCCAAGGACGACGGTGGAGAACCGATCGAGGGATACCTCGTGGAGAAGTTCGATCCGGAGACCGGTGTCTGGCTACCAGTCGGTAAAACTACTGGACCCGAGATGAAGGTCGAAGGGCTTACACCTGGACACGAGTACAAGTTCCGAGTCAAGGCACTCAACAAGGAAGGAGAGTCTGAACCGTTGGAGACCTTTAGCTCCATCGTAGCGAAAGATCCGTTCAGTGAGTGGAATATTTTTTATAATTCTCCGAAATAAATAATATTTTATAAAGTTTGTCAAAAATATTTTCAAAAGGTAATTCTTTCATAGCTCTGTTTATTTCTTTAAAATATTGATTGCCAATTTTATTATAATAATTAATTTTTACAGCTGTACCAACCGCACCTGGAGCACCAGAGCCGGTCGATTGGACGGCTAATCAGGTTGAACTCGCCTGGAAAGAGCCCGTCAGCGACGGTGGATCACCTATCACGGGCTACATCATCGAGAAAAAAGACAAATACAGCACTATGTGGGAGAAGGCTTTGGAGACGGAGACACCGGTCACCAAAGCTCTGGTGCACGGTTTAATAGAAGGCAACGATTACCAATTCCGCGTGATCGCCGTAAACAAGGCTGGTCTGTCGGAGCCCGGCGAAGCCAGTAAGACGTTTACTGCTAAGCCACGTTTCTGTAAGTATTTGTATCTGTAAATACATTTCAATTTTTCCGGTTCACATTTTAATGTAGGGTAATCCTTTCTCGGAAGATTTAAAAAGATTGAAATTTTCTTCTTATATTGTTACGATTTAAATTTTATTTGATTATAATTTTCCTTTGAATCATTTTTATATATAAAAATTATAACAAATAGTATATTACCTTAATAATTGGCTTAAACATCTAAGAACTTAATTATGCAATCGATCTATAACAAGACAGTTATCTTTGTATCGCTGCCACGAAACGTACTCACGATCCAAAAATAATCTCAATGAATCGCGTGCTTGTCTAAATCTGATATTGGCATCTAATCGTTCGATCATTCATCGCAGTGGCCCCGAAGATTGACAGGCGCAATCTGAGGGACGTTACCCTGTCCGCTGGCTCAATGTTGAAATTCGATGCCAACGTGATCGGCGAGCCGCCGCCGCACATCGAATGGCGTTACGGCGCGATACCGCTTCATTCCGATCGCAAGGTGCAGATCGACAACACCGACTACAATACCAAGTTCAGCATACGTCCTGTATCGCGGGACGACAGTGGCGATTACACCGTCACCGCCAGCAATTCGTCGGGCAAGGACTCGGTGACGGTGCAGGTGACGGTGACGGACAAGCCGACGCCGCCTGAGGGACCGCTTCAGGTATCGGATGTGCACAAGGAAGGATGCAAGTTGAAATGGAAGAGACCTAAGGACGACGGCGGCACGCCCATCGAGTACTATCAAGTGGACAAGATGGACCCGGAGACCGGATGCTGGGTACCCTGCGGACGTTCCACCGAACCGAGTAAGTCGCTGGATTGATTAATAAAACAAAATAAAAGGAATTAAGCTAACACAGTGCTATTAAATTTTTACCCAAACAAAGTTGCCCAATAGTTTCTGCTTCTATTTTTTTTTTATACTTTATATAAAACACGCTTAAAATTTCTTTATTTTTAAAATAAAGTTTTTCTGCTGTACATTTTCGACATTTTAAAATACATAATTTACTTTATAAAATATTTATTTAATATGCGAATTATTTATTATAGATATCGAGGTGACGGGTCTAACACCTGGCAAGGAGTACCTTTTCCGAGTGGCCGCGGTCAATGCCGAGGGCGAATCAAAGCCCTTGGAAGCGGAGCAAACGATAGTAGCCAAGAATCCATTCGGTATGTCAATTAAATATAAATTAAAATTATACAGAACATCGCCGCAAGTATAAATTACAAAATATAAAGATAGACGTCATTATTTTTTAATCTAAGAGAATTAGAATCAAATCTATTTTCGTTTTTATCTGCAGATGAACCAGGCAAACCGGGTGATCTCCGAGCCACCGACTGGGATAAGGATCATGTCGATCTCAAGTGGACCCCGCCGGAGAACGACGGCGGTTCACCGATCACCGGTTATGTAATTGAGAAAAAAGACAAGTACGGCGAATGGGAGAAGGCACTGGAGGTGCCGGCGGACGAGACGTCTGCTACCGTACCCGATCTCATTGAAGGCCAGCCGTACGAATTCCGCGTGCGCGCCGTGAACAAGGCTGGTCCTGGTGAACCGTCGGACGCCACGCCGACCATCATCGCCAAACCGCGCAATCTGGCGCCCAGAATCGATCGTACCAATCTGATTGAGGTGAAGATCAAGGCCGGCCAGAACTTCAACTTCGACTGCAAGGTAACGGGCGAACCGCCGCCGACTACCAAATGGATGCTGAACGGCAAGGAAGTCCGGCCGACCGATCGTGTCAAAGTCAAGCACGTGGACTACAACACCAGCCTGAACGTGCGGATGGCGACGCGTGCAGAATCCGGCAAATACACCGTCATTGCCGAGAATATTAACGGCCGAGATGAGGCGTTCGTCAAGGTGACCGTGCTGGACAAGCCGAGCCCGCCTCAAGGTCCGCTTCGCGCGACCGACGTGCACGCCGAGGGCTGCAAACTCACGTGGAAGCCGCCCGAGGACGATGGCGGGCAGCCGGTTGATAAATATGTCGTGGAAAAGATGGACGAGGCTACGGGACGTTGGGTGCCGGCCGGAGAGACTGACGGACCGGAAACGAGCCTGCAGGTGGAGGGTCTGACGCCAGGGCACAAGTACAAGTTTAGAGTGAGAGCAGTCAACAAGCAGGGCAAATCCGAGCCGCTCACCGCCATGCAAGGCATCGAAGCGAAGAATCCTTTCGGTAAGATAAACATTTTTTATCGAAATAAAAAAGTAAAAATTTGAGCGCTATATATTTCCGACATAATTATATTACTACTTCTAATTTATTTTATTTCAAAATTTGCAAAACCTTTAAAAAAATATTAATATTATTTTACCATTTATAGACGAACCAGGAAAGCCAGGTACGCCCGAGGTGGTTGATTATGACAGAGACTTCGTCGAACTTCAATGGAGCCGTCCTGAGGAAGACGGTGGATCACCGATCACTGGTTACATCATAGAAAAACGTGACAAGTACAGTCCAACCTGGGAGAAATGTGCGGAAGTCGACGGTGACACGAATCGCGGCAGAGTTAATGATCTGGTCGAGGGAACTCCATATGAATTCCGCATAAGAGCTGTCAACAAGGCTGGTCCCGGCGAACCGTCGGAGGCGTCCAAGTCCCATGTGGCGCGACCTAAGAACCGTAAGTATTCGCGACGAGAATTTATCGAATTTTGTATATATTTAAGGAAATTAAATTATTTCAAGACATTTTTATAATTTAGAAACTTATATAAGAAATTAAAAATTGATTAAAAATTTTTCTAATAAATTAATATATCTTATATTTAATTAAATTAATTATAATGTATAACTGATTATATTATATATTTCGTGTTCAGTTCCACCGAAGATCGACAGGAAGTACATGCTGGACGTGAAAGTGCGCGCCGGCGGTTTCTTCGACTTCGACGTGCCGGTGATCGGCGAGCCGCCGCCAAGCAAGGAATGGTCGCTGAAGGACACCACCGTGATGGCAAGCGATCGTATCAAAATCATCAACGAGGATTATAACACCAAGGTGCGCGTGATGGAGGCAAAACGTTCTGATTCCGGCGTCTACACTCTTGTGGCCAAGAACGTGAACGGTAAGGACTCTGCCACGTTGACAGTGAACGTGATGGACGTACCCTCGCCACCGGAGGGTCCGCTGAAGATCGACAACGTCACTAAAAACGGATGCACCCTGAAGTGGCGGCCGCCCAAGGACGACGGCGGTTCCGAGATCCAATACTATCAGGTCGAGAAAATGGACACGGAGAACATGCGCTGGGTGCCCGTGGCTGAGGCTAACACCACCTCAGCGCAGGTGGGCCACCTGATCGAGGGACACGACTATCAGTTCCGCGTACGAGCGGTCAACAAGCAGGGCGAGTCCCAGCCGCTGACGGGAATGGACACTATCACTGCCAAGGATCCGTTCGCCAAGCCGGACAAGCCCGGCGCGCCAGTCGCCACCGACTGGGACAAGGATCACGTGGATCTCGAATGGACACCACCCAAGAAAGACGGCGGATCGCCCATAACTGGTTACATCATCGAGAAACGACCTCGTTTCGGACAGTGGGAGAAAGCCGCCGAGGTACCCGGGAACAAGACCAACGCCAGAGTGCCTGATTTGACCGAGGGTCAGGAATACGAGTTCAGAGTCATCGCTGTCAACAAGGGCGGACCTGGTGAACCGTCCGAGGCGTCGGCACCGGTCGTTGCCAAGCCTCGTTTCAGTGAGTTTTATTGGAATTTTTATTGGAATTAATAGCACAAAATAATTAAATTATTTTGAAAAGAATTTTATATAAAAATATAAAAAATGTATTTTCATAAAAAATTACAAACAGAATATTCCTTCACGTAGATGCAAAAATTTTCGCACAAAAATCTTTTCTTGAGAAATAAGAATTTTTGATAATTTATTTTTTTAAATAACTGAAGATGTTTTTTTCTATTAATGACATTACTCATCATTTCTTCTTATTAATTACAGTTGCTCCTTCGTTTGACACGCACTTGCTGAACGACTTGGTGGTTCGTGCCGGTCAAAAGATCAGCTACAATATTCCTATCGTAGCATCACCTAAACCGAAGGCAACATGGAATCGCGATGGTGTTCAGATTGTGGCTGATGCTCGTCATGAAATGTATACTACTAACACTGAAACTTCCTTTGAGATTCCATTCTCTGTCCGCGGTGATACTGGACGTTACACTCTAACTTTGGAGAACGAGCATGGTAGCTTCAGGTACTTGACAAATCAAATTGTAATACTTGTGTAGAAAAAATAGTTTCAATTTTTATTCTTTAATTATAATTTTCATTTGAGTAACACAAAAAATTTTAAGTAAATGAATTTACGTCAAACAACGTGTTTTACATTTATTTAAAAATGATTTAAGCAAATAAGAAGATATGATAAAGATTTTAATATTCAAAAATAATTTGAGGTAAATCTTAACTAAATGTTTTTGACAACATATATAATTTAATTTTGAGACGATCGTTAGTTGAACAAACGATGAACGTTAAATTTTCAGCGCCAGCGCGAGGGTCACTGTCCTCGACAGACCGGCACCACCGGAGAAGCCTTTGGATGTCAGCAATGTCACCAAAGAGGGTTGTCATTTGACATGGGGACATCCTCTCGACGATGGTGGCAGTCCCATATTGCACTATGTTATTGAGAAGATGGACTTGTCCCGTGGAACTTGGTCCGACGCCGGTATGAGCATGGTGTTGAGTCACGAGGTCAGCCGTCTAATTCATCGCAAGGAATATTTATTCCGTGTCAAGGCTGTTAACAACATCGGAGAGTCCGATCCGCTCGAGAGCACGAGGAGCATTATCGCGAAGAACGAGTTTGGTGAGTGACTTGAAAAAAGAAAGATATTTTATATCTAAATGAAAGTGACATTAAGTTTTAGAATAATTAATTTGTGCACGTCGTAAAATTTTGGAGCTAAAAATATATTTGAATAAAAATAATAAGGTTGTTGTTAATAAATGCGACTGCGATTTTCAGATGAACCGGACGCACCTGGCAAACCGCAGATCACGGACTGGGACAAGGACCACGTGGATCTGCAGTGGCCAGTGCCGAAGAACGACGGCGGATCACCGATCACGGGCTACATTGTCCAGAAGAAGGAAAAGGGCAGCCCTTATTGGGTGAACGCGGTACACGTGCCGGCTGGTCAAAACAGCACGACCGTTCCGGATCTGACGGAAGGCCAGGAGTACGAATTCCGTGTGATCGCTGTCAACGCCGCCGGTCAATCCGAACCGTCGGAGCCCAGCGATCTTGTCACTGCCAAACCTCGTTACTGTAAGTTGTGAATTCTCATTGAGAATTGATTTAAAGAGCAACGATTTGATTAAAAATTATAATAAGAGTATAAAACATATTTTTTAATCTAACTAGTATATAACAGGCGCGCACTTCGCGCGCGCTGCGTATTGAATTCCATACATCTTCCAATAACATTTATACCAATTTACATTTTAATTAAACAAATGTTAACAATTTTTGATAAGAAATAAATTTTCAAAAAAATGACGTTTTGCGCGCGGTGCGTATTAAACTCCATACATCGTCCAATAACATTTATACCAAATTATATTTTAATTAAACAAATTTTAACAATTTTCAATAAAATGACGTTTTAAACGGCCATATTGAATCGGCCATTTTTAAATAAAATCTCGATTTTTTAGAAAATAGCCACATAATTCATCTTTAAGATAAGTCCAGAAAGAAGTCGATATTTTTATTTTTCTGGAAGATATGAATTTTTAAACATTGGGGAAAAGAAGCTTCAATGCAGATAACATGGAATTTGATTTTTAAGATAAAAATTTTTTTTGGAAAATATTTTATATCAGTTAATTTTTAAACTAAAAATTTTTTTTGACCCATTACCCACCTCCACCACCCACTACCACCATCCACCACACCTACTCTTCACGACATAAATCACGATAAAATCACGATTTCTTAAAAAATAGCCATATAATTCATCTTTAAGATGAGCCCAGAAAGAAGTCTATATCTTTATTTTTCTGGAAGATTGAATTTTTAAACATTGGGGAAAAGCTTTATATCTATCTTTTTTTATAACTCAAATTTCTTATACATTTTGATCGCGACAATATATTTGTTAGCCATTGTTACATTTAACTTTCTTTAATTTATTTAGTGGCCCCGAAGATCAAGACGCCTCTGCAGGACGTTCGTATCAAGGCCGGACTTATCTTCCACGTGGATATCGACTTCGTCGGCGAACCGACGCCGGAGGCAACGTGGAGCGTAGGAAGCAACGAATTGACTTCCAACGACAGGACGACGATTACATCGATCGGCTATCACACAATCGTGCACATCGTCAACGCCAAAAGATCCGACTCGGGATTGTACCATCTGTTGCTGAAGAACAGCAGCGGTATAGATGAAGGAAGCTTCCAGCTGACTGTCCTGGATAAGCCTGGACCGCCGGAAGGTCCCTTGCAGTACGAGGAAATCACTAATCAGTCCGTCACGCTCTCGTGGAAGCCACCCAAGGATAATGGAGGCAGTGAACTTACGTAAGTAAATTTTTAAACATTCGGAAAACATCATCTACGAATTATAATTTTACGTGACAGAATTATCACGTTAAAAATTATAAATTACAACAATTTATGTGAAGAAGTACACGATGTATTCAAGAAAAAGAATGGTATTAATAATACATATGAAATAATTTCTTACATGTTTTTATTCTATTTTTTTTACAGTGGATACGTCATCGAAAAACGCGATCTCACGCATGGTGGCGGCTGGGTACCAGCAGTTACACACGTTAATCCCAAGTATAATCATGCGACTGTGCCAAGGTTGCTTGAGGGAACTACATACGAATTCCGCGTGTCCGCGGAAAATCTTCAAGGTCGCTCTGAGCCACTGACCACCGATCGATCTGTTGTTGCCAAAAATCAATTCGGTGAGCAAATCTATTTTAAAATTATTACAAAAAAGATCATTAAGTACATATTTATATATTTTTAGAAATGATAGAAATTCCTTTATTTTCTAATATATATATATATATTTTTTTTTTATTATTTTCTTTTTTTGTTAACATATATTCGATATTAATTGCTTAGTGGTTCCTGGACAACCCGGCAAGCCGGAATGCGTGGACGCTGACAAAGATCACATCAAGATCAAATGGACCCCGCCTATTAGCAACGGCGGCTCCAAGATCATCGGCTACGACGTGGAGCGTCGCGATCGTGCTACAGGTCGCTGGATAAAGCAGAACAAAGAACCCGTCAGATATCCTGAGTATTACGACGATCATGTGACCGAGGGTCATCAGTATGAATATCGCGTGTCGGCTATAAATGCCGCAGGTGCTGGAAAACCGAGCGAGACCTCGTCCGTATTCACGGCTAAACCTATGAAGGAGAAGCCGAAGCTTCATCTGGACGCTCTAATCGGACGCAAGATCAAGGTTCGCGCTGGAGAACCGATTAACGTCAACATACCGTTGTCCGGCGCGCCCACGCCGAAAATCGAATGGAGCAAGGATGGAAAATCGCTTATGGAAACTCTTCGCTTATCTGTAGGTTTATCTTCCTGTTTATTTTTAGAATTGCAATAGAGATTTAGTTTTTTATTAAATTAATTTGAATTTATAAATTGAATTAAACTCTTAAATATTTTTTATTAATTATTGTGTTATATGAATTAAATTCCATAGTACATTTTTATGTTTTACAGAAAGTAAATTTTAGATTTTATTCCTCACCTCGTAGAGTTTCTTTCAATTTTTATATTTAATTAATTGTTGTGCAGTTTACTCTACAATATTTTCTCATTTTTATTATATATTCAGACCGAGACCAAGAGCGACCGAACGCAGTTGCTGATCGAGAAGTCCGTGCGAGATGACGGCGGCATGTACACCGTGACCGCGACGAACGAGCATGGAAAGGACTCGGCCGATATCGAAGTGATAGTCGTGGACAAGCCTGGACCACCACAAGGTCCTCTGCAATACACCGGCACGACGCAGGAGTCTGTCGGGCTGTCCTGGAATCCACCGGCGGACAACGGCGGATCCGATATTACAAACTACATCGTCGAGGTTTCGGATTACGGTTCTGACAATTGGCGACAAGTGCCTGGATACGTTCCCAGGACGAGCTTCACGGCGAAGGGCTTGACTGAAGGTAAGAAGTACGTCTTCAGGGTCCGCGCCGAGAACATGTACGGTGTGTCGGAGCCCTTGGAAGGCAAGCCTGTGATCGCCAAGAGCCCGTACGATCCGCCGGATGCGCCGAGTCAGCCTGAGATTCTTGGTTACACTCCTAACAGCTGCAGTCTCGCGTGGAATCCTCCTATTAATACTGGAGGAAAGCCTATTACCGGTAAGATATTGTAATAAATTATTTTATAATTATTTGCCTCTTATATACAGGCGAAAATTAATGTTTTATTATCTAACATTGTTATATAATATATATATATATTAAATCTTTATGGTTTAAAGAGATTCTTTGAAATTATTAAATTTAAATTTATATTGTTAAAAATTTAAACACGATGGAACTCCTTTTTATTTTCTTGATGGAAATGTCGAAAGTTACATGTGACTTACGCTATTCGCATTATTTTCTTCAAGTTATTATTTCTTTCATTTTTTTGATGAAAATACGATGTTAAAAGTTACACGTGACTTACATTATTTGCATTATCTTCTTCAGGTTATTACGTGGAAAGGCGCGAGCGTGGCGGCGAATGGTTGAAGGTCAACAATTACCCGACACCGAACACGACGTTCACCGTGCAGGATCTTCATGAGGGTTCGCGATATGAATTTAGAGTGAGCGCTGTCAACGAAGCTGGAACTGGCAAACCCAGCAAGCCTACTGAACCGATCACAGCTGGACATCAACGCTGTAAGTATATTTTAATCGGTCATAATAATATATTTTAACAAATGCAATCCAATTCAAAAAAATTTATTTAAAAATGCTATAATCTGAACGCTTTGTCTTAGCATTTATTTTAATTTTAATCTTTCTTTAATATTAGTTTTATTTCATATTATTTTGATTATTAATATCAGTTCCAAATTCGAATTTTATTTATAACCATTAATATTGATTATTAGTTTTAATTATCATGCCAATATCTTTTAATATTTAGTTATATTATTGTTATCATTGCAGTGCGTCCTGACGCGCCCGAGCCGCCCAAAGCGGATAGGATCACCAAGGATTCGGTGACCCTGAGCTGGCGACCACCGCGAAGCGACGGTGGCTCGAAGATTCGAGGATATATCATCCAGAAGAAGGCTAAGGGTGATGACGACTGGTCAGATGTAAACGGCGCGCCCATACCGAGCAACGTGTACACCGTGCCGAAGTTGAAGGAGGGCGAAGAGTATCTCTTCAGGGTGTTCGCGGTGAACGATGTCGGCAGCAGCGACCCGAGCCGACCCAGCAATCCGATTGTCATTGAAGAGCAACCCAACAAACCAGTCATGGATCTCGGTGGGGTTCGCGATATCACCGTTCGCGCCGGCGAAGACTTCTCCATTCATGTGCCTTACATTGGCTTCCCTAAACCGACCGCCACGTGGTTCGCCAACGACGTCGTCAAGGATGAAACCGATCCACGCGTGCATCAACAGTTGGCCGATGATTTTGCCAGGTGTGTACTTTTGACATTATTATAAACTTTTGAGAACACGAGGATAAAAAAAAAGATATAAAGTTTTCGGTTTGCCTATTAATTTTAAAGTTTAATATTAAACTTCAAAGTTTTGATTATATAATATATTTAAATCAAAAATTTCTCGTCATCGTGGCGTAGATTAATGAAGATAATGATAATGCACATTATATTATTAATTGGTTTTTTGCTGCAGCCTGGTAGTGAAGAATGCGAAACGTTCGGACGGAGGTCAATACAGACTTCAGCTGCGCAACTCATCCGGCTTTGACACGGCGACCGTTAACGTCAAGGTCCTCGATCGTCCTAGTCCACCCGAGAATCTGCGCGCGGACGAATTTGGTGGCGACGCTCTCACTCTCTTCTGGAATCCGCCCAAGGACAACGGCGGTGCTGATATCACTAACTACGTGATTGAGAAGAAGGAACCGAAGGCCGCCACGTGGTCCAAGGTGAGAAATATTATATTAAGATCATTATCACGAAATCTGGATAAAAAGAATGCGAGGAAGAATTAATCGGGAAAATTGTGTAGCATAGAAATTAATTTGGAAGTAATACCAGAGGTTCTAAAGAGAAGAAACTTGCAGGTGAGCAGCTACGTTACGACACCGTTTGTGCGAGTCAGAAATCTGACGGTCGGTCAAGTCTACGAGTTCCGGGTGATGGCGGAGAACCAGTACGGCACGTCGGACCCAGCGACGACGATCGATCCGATAAAGGCGCGACATCCGTTTGATCCGCCGGGTGCACCTGGCACACCTCGCGGCGTGGAGACCACCGAGGACAGCATCACCATTACCTGGACCAAGCCTCGTCACGACGGCGGCTCGCCGATCCTCGGATACGTCGTCGAGAAGCGTCTTCTCAACGAGGACAAATGGGTCAAAGCCACTCCGGCTCTGGTGCACGACACTACTTACAAGTGAGCGATCTGTGCTACTGCACATTTCTAAAAAAAAAGTATCTTTCATTTTAACGTGATGTCTTAACAATTTTTTTTATCGATCTTGTAGAGTCACTGGACTGATCGAAAATCATGATTACGAGTTCCGCGTAGCTGCGGAAAATGCCGCTGGTCGGGGACCATGGAGCTCCAATTCCGACGTTATTCGTGCCAGTGCTCCACCATGTAAATATATCTTTTTAAAAATGTTTTATTCTACAAATAAAAAAGAATATATATTTTATAATTAAAATGTACTAAAATTATTATATGTATATATATTTAATTAAATTTTTTATCATCATTGATTTTTTAAGTTAATTCAGATATAGTTCAACATAACAATCGTTTTGTTACAGTCCCACCGAAGATCACGAGTGACCTCAGCATCCGCGATATGACCGTGATTGCCGGAGAACCGTTCACCATTACGGTGCCGTACACAGCCAATCCGAAACCGAGACCGAACTGGTCTATCAACGGCGAGGAAGTTCTCACTGGTGAGAGGATCAAATTCGAGACGACTGACGTGGCCTCACAGTTCATTAACAAGAAGGCAAAGAGATCGGATACTGGCACATACACGATATATCTCACGAACACCGTTGGCACGGACTCCGCCTCGTGCAAAGTCCTTGTTGTCGGTAAATATCCTGCTACGCATCAATTTTTAATCCCCGATTTATTATTTAAAAGAAAACTGCATCTTAATTATTATAATTAAATTGTTGTGAAAATAGCAAAATAATAATTTTGAAAATTTTTTTTAACTAAGCACTCTGATATTAAAGACATGTGAGTTACATTATAAGAGTATTTCTTTCTTAGACAAACCGTCGCCACCTCTGGCGCCTTTGGACATCTCCGATATCACTCCGGAAACCTGCACGCTGACGTGGAAACCGCCCTTCGACGATGGTGGTTCGCCAATTACGAATTATATCGTCGAGAAACTGGATCCGGCCGGCGTAAGTTTTTACTTAAAAAATAATGATTATAAAAAATATAGCATTATTTTTCCATACGACATAAGATGCGACGTCGAACAGATATCGATATCTTTATTGCTCTTCCAGTTCTGGGTAAAGCTCAGCAGCTTCGCGAGGAGCACACATTATGACGTGATCGGTCTGGAACCGAATCGCACGTACAATTTCCGCGTAAGAGCGGAGAACCAGTACGGTATATCCGACCCGTTGCAAGCTGACGAGCCGATAACAGCCAAATTCCCCTTCACGGTGCCGGATCCCCCAGGACAGCCACGAGTCATCGACTGGGACACCTCAAATGCCACGGTAGTATGGACGAGACCATTATCCGATGGTGGCTCTCGCATCCAGGTATGTAAAAAAGAAAATGTATACTTACGAGATATAATATTGTACGATTATATTTGTATATAAAGATCAAAGTTTAAAGTTGTACTTTCAAAGTTTAGATATTTTTTACGCTATTAATATAATAATAATGTATTCTACTAATGTATTCTAATAATGTACATTTATTAATATAAAATAACAATTACAGGGTTACAAGATCGAATTCCGCGATCCCGCTGAGGACGTTCAGTGGCGCGTGGCGAACGACTATCTCTTCAAGGACACCACGTACGTGTGCTATGGTCTGATGAGCGGCCACGAGTACGAGTTCAGAATCCGCGCGAAGAACGCGGCCGGTTTCAGCAAGCCGAGCCCGCCGTCCGCGCCGTTCAGACTCAAGAGCAAGTTCAACGTGCCGTCGCCACCTGGCACGCCACAAGTCACCAAGGTCGGCAAGAATTACGTTGATCTGCGATGGGAGCCGCCCGTGTCCGACGGCGGTAGCAGGATCACCGGCTACGTGATCGAGAAGCGCGAGGTGGGCAGCGCGATGTGGTCCAAGTGCAACGAGTACAATGTCGTCGATACCGAGTACACGGTTATGCATCTGATCGAGCGAGGTGACTACGAGTTCAGGATCTTCGCGGTGAACGCGGCCGGCAGATCCCAGCCGAGCTCGTGCACCACTCCGGTGAAAATCTGCGAGGTCGAGGGTGGCGAGAAACCGGAGTTCATCAGAAACCTGCCCATCAGTCAGATTATACCGCTTGGCAAAATGCTCGTTCTCGAATGCGAAGCCACGGGTAAACCATTGCCGACCGCCAGGTTAGCAGAAATAACATTTATTTAATATTTGCTAGTTTTCTTATTATTGACTAAGAGAGACTTATTTGAATTAAAATAAAAAATTAAAATTAACATTTAAATTGATTATTTGAGATTTATATGTACTTATGTCTTAACAGTAATTATATTATTATTATACATTTATTGTTCACTCTCTTTCTCTTTCTTCGATCTGATATTAATATAATTTTAATTTGTTCAGGTGGTTGAAAAACGGTCGCGAGATCACTTTAGGCGGCCGCTTCCGCGCCGAAGCGATAAACGGCATCTACAGGCTGGTGATATCCGAAGTGTGGGACGCAGACGACGGCGACTACAGCTGCCAGATCTCGAATCCGCTCGGCGTCGCCGCGACCACGTGCAGGCTGAAGATCGGCACACCGCCGCGCATCGAGCGCATGCCGGGCGATCTCTACCTGCCGGAGGGCGATAACACGAAGATCAAGATCTACTACAGCGGCGATCAGCCGATGGAAGTGATTCTGAAGAAGGACGGTCGCCAGATCATGGAGACCACGCACATCAAGTACACCGTGTTCGACGAGTATCTCATTATCTTCATCAAGGATATCCAAAAGGACGACGCAGGCATTTACGATCTCTCCATCTCGAACGACAGTGGTAGCGTCAGCGCGTCCTTTAACGTGTACATCACCGGACTGCCTGGACCGCCGATCGGTCCGCTCGACGTTTCCGATATCGATAAGCATACGTGCACCCTGTCCTGGCATCCGCCCAAGTACGACGGTGGTCTTCGGGTCACTCACTACGTGGTGGAGCGCCGCGACGTCAGCCACACGCACTGGATCATCGTGTCGTCCTTCTGCAAAGACACCACTTTCGTCGTGCAGGGTCTTACCGAGGGTCAGGAGTATCTCTTCCGGGTGATGGCCGCCAACGACAACGGCATGGGCCCGCCGTTGGAGGGCACCAACCCGATCAAGGCCAAGGCGCCGTTCGATCCACCGGGACCACCCGGCACGCCCAAGGTCATCGAAGTGGGTGGTGATTTCGTCAATCTTTCATGGGAGAAACCGGAAACGGACGGTGGTGCTAAGATCCAGGGTTACTGGATCGATAAGAGAGAGGTCGGCAGTCAGGCATGGCAGCGTGTGAACGTTAGCATCTGCCTACCGACGCAGATTAATATCAGCAACTTGATCGAAGGAAGGCAGTACGAATTCCGCGTATTTGCTCAAAACGCCGCAGGACTTAGTCCCGAATCGAAGGCCTCGACCTCCGTGAAGATCGTCGATCCGCAAGCGGCGAAGCCTCCGGAGGTCATTCAACCTCTCCAGAAGGTTTGTATTTTTTTAATTTGCACCTTGCATAATTATAAGCAATTATTATAACTGAGACGCAAAATAATGCAAGAAAATTTTCTCATTTTTTTCTCTCTCAGGTGAATTGCGTCCAGAATCACAACGCCCACTTCCAGTGCAAGATCATCGGCACGCCGAAACCAAACATCACATGGTTCAAGGGCGCTCGCGAGATCGTGAGCGGTAGTCGCTACAACATCTACTCCGAGGGCGATACTCACAATCTTATTATCCACGACGTGTTCGGCGAGGACGCCGACGAGTATTTCTGCCGTGCGGCGAATAAGTGCGGCGTGAAATCCACCAAGGGCGAGCTCTTCATCAAGACGCCGCCGAAGCTGAACGTGCCGCCGCGTTTCCGCGACACCGCCTTCTTCGACAAGGGCGTGAACGTCGTCATCAAGATTCCGTTTACCGGCTACCCGAAGCCAAAGATCACGTGGGTGCGCGAGGGCGAGGTGATCGAATCCGGCGGACATTACTCCGTCGAGGTAAAAGAGCGACACGCCGTGCTGACGATACGCGACGGCAGCCGCTTGGATTCCGGTCCGTATCGCATCTCCGCCGAGAACGATCTCGGCCAGGACACAGCCATCATCAAGATCCAGATCAGCGATCGTCCGGACCCGCCCAGGTTCCCGCAGGTGGATAACATCGGTCACGACTCGCTGGCGGTCAGCTGGAAGCCGCCGGTTTGGGACGGCGGCAGCAACATCACCAACTACGTGGTGGAGAAACGCGAGCACCCGATGAGCAGTTGGATCCGTGCCGGCAACACCCGTTTCTGCACACTCGCGGTGACCGGCCTCAGCCCCGGACAGCAGTACGATTTCCGGGTGTGCGCGGAGAACATCTACGGGCGCTCGGATCCGAGCGAGGTGACGCCGTTGATCACCACAAAGAGCGTGATCAAGCGCGAGTTCAAGAAGAAGGAGTACGAGGTGGACGCGAGCGGCAAGAAGATACGCGGTCGCGAGGACGAGAAGCCGCACGACTACGACCAATTTGTTTTCGACGTGTACAGCAAGTATGTGCCGCAACCGGTCGAGATCAAGCACACGTCAGTTTACGATAAATACGACATCCTGGAGGAGATCGGCACGGGCGCTTTCGGCGTGGTGCACCGCTGCCGCGAGAGGACCACCGGTAACATCTTTGCCGCCAAATTTATCCCGGTGTCGCACGTGATGGAGAAGGAGCTGATCAGGAAGGAGATCGACATCATGAATCAGCTGCATCATCCCAAGCTGATCAACCTGCACGACGCCTTCGAAGATGATGATGAGATGGTGCTGATCTTCGAGTTGTAAGTATCCACTTTGGACAGAAAAATCGTTTGCTATTAAATCCGACGGTCGATCATGATGGGTTTGCGTTATCCTTGATCTCGATCATTTGTCTCTTTAGCCTGTCCGGCGGCGAACTGTTCGAGAGGATCACGGCCGAAGGTTACACCATGTCCGAGGCGGAAGTCATTAACTACATGAGGCAGATCTGCGAAGGTGTCAAGCATATGCACGAGAAGAACATCATCCACCTTGGTAAGATATTTTAACAACGATTTTCTTACGATACACATGTGAAATTGATTATAGATTTTATTTATCAGTCCAGTAATTCAGTCAATCTATAATTTGTCTTTTAATTAAATTTTATTTTACTAGAAATTTAAGCCTTTAATTATTATTTGTTTATCGTTGATTAATGGTAATAAAATAAGGCGCAAAATTTATAATTTTAATTTTGGAGATGCCATTTAAAAATGTTGCGAGCACTTAATTTATTAAATGCATTATGTTATCGTATGATACGTGATTGTTTCTAGATATCAAACCCGAGAACATCATGTGTCAAACTCGCAACAGCACGAATGTGAAACTAATCGATTTCGGTCTGGCTACTAAACTCGACCCGAACGAGGTAGTGAAAATTAGCACGGGCACGGCCGAGTTTGCCGCCCCCGAGATTGTCGAACGTGAGCCGGTCGGTTTTTACACCGATATGTGGGCCTGTGGTGTACTGGCTTATGTTCTGTAAGTAAACTTTTTGCCACATAATCGAAGCGATTGAATATTTCACGTTTCTTAGATGTTCGATTTATTTCACTATCAAATGTAATAAGTAATAAAATACTTAATATTTTTTAAGGAGTTATTGCTTAATCAACTTTACAATTATTGGAAGGTTTTAATTAAATAATTGAGACGATTGTATGTATTTATGTATTTTGTATGTACTTTGTGATAAATAGAATTTTATTTAAAAAAACAAAAGAAATTTATCGACTAGCATGCGTCGTTTGCACAGATTGAGCGGTCTTTCGCCATTCGCCGGTGACAACGACATCGAGACCTTGAAGAACGTGAAGGCATGCGATTGGGACTTCGACGAGGAGGCATTCCGCGACGTTTCCGAGGAGGGCAAAGATTTCATCAGGCGGCTACTTGTCAAAAACAAAGAGTACGTTTTACCGTTTCCTTCACAAACCTTTTCCTTCTTCTCTCCTGTCCCGTTATTATTTCGTTCACATTACTGTATTCTTGTCTTTCAAGGAAGCGCATGACTGCGCACGAGTGTCTACTTCATCCATGGTTGACCGGCGATCATAGCAAGTGGACCAATCCAATCGCCAACAGTCGTTACCTCAGCATCAGAGACAGATTGCGTGCCAAGTATGAGAACTGGGACAAGTATGTCCTTCCCATCGGCCGCCTAGCCGAGTACTCGTCGCTCAGGAAACTTTTAATCGAGAAATACAGAATTTACGATTCTTGCTTCGGTGAGGAAAAAATTACCACATGCATAATTAATTTTCATAAAAGCTATGTGAAGACATCCGATCGTCTGTCTCGCTAACGCGTAACTCTCCAATTAATTATACTTTTACAGATCGCCGACAAGCGGCACCTAGATTCGTCATCAAACCGCAAAGCGCGTTCGCCTATGAAGGACAGAGCGTGAAATTCACTTGTCGCGTGATCGCCATCGCGGCACCGACTCTATCTTGGTCGCATAACAACCAGGAGCTACGACAATCCGTTAAATTCATGAAGCGATACCACGGCGACGATTACACCTTTATTATTAACAGAGTCAAGTTGGAGGACAGAGGGGAGTACATTATACGTGCGGAGAATCATTATGGCTACCGCGAGGAAGTCGTCTTTCTCAACGTACAACGTAAGCGTTCTTTCAGAATTTTATGTCTACGTTTACATAATTTTGAGAGAAAATTGTGATTTTTTTTTTTTATTTAGCACTGCCGAGAGAAATTCCGAAGTACAGGCCCGAGCTGCATCCTGTACGCAGACGAGAACCGCTTGGCTACAACGTGTGGCTGGAGACGATCGAGTCGGCGCCGAACTTCACGTTCCTACTGCGACCACGTGTCATACAGATCAGGCAGACTTGCAAGCTGCTCTGCTGCCTGAGCGGCAATCCACCTCCCACTGTGAAATGGTACAAGGACAGGGAAGAATTATCCAAGTACAATTATCCCATGAGCAACGCCGACGGTGTCGTCACGATGGAGATCGTTGACTGCAAGCCGGAGGACAGCGGCAAATATCGTTGCGTGGCTACCAACAAACACGGCAAAGACGAGACTAGTTGCGTAGTCATCGTAGAAGGTATGACATGAATAAGTTATTGTATATCGAATTAAAAAATATAGAAATTGAAGGATGAGAGATTATTTTACGGAGTTGAACGCAATAATTATACCTGTTTATTGCGAATAATTTGAGATAATTAATTATTCTTAAAACTAAAAAATATAATAAATAACTTTTAAGATTAATTTTGCATTTAAAATTGATTTTATTTAAATTAAGATTTATTTGCGTTCTTCGAACTTTTAGAGAGAAATAAGGTTGATAATATTTTTCATATAATTTAAATTGAATTTGCTAACGAAACAGACCTCATTGAGCGTTTATTTGTAGGCACTGGAGAAACGGAGGAACAAGTAAAATTAGTGCACGACCTCCTACATTCCGGAGGTAGAGCTGTTTAAAAGTGTACCCTGTTTGCCACCCTCTTCCTCTGTTATTAAAAGCAATTTCATTAGACGATAGACATTTTGTTTTTGTGTTCGTCCATTTACATCATCTAGTTTTTCATATTATTTATGCAAAAGTAACTGTAAAATTTTAACTATCTAGATTTATTCCAAAAATAATGACCCTTGGATTATATTATATAACTACTCATTCCTTTTTTATATCCTGCATACGTACTTCATGTTGAATTAGCTTTCTTGCTTATTTTTGAGTTCTTTTATAGCTTGCGTTTTGCAATGAAAAATACTAGCCGTGTAAATTTTATAATAAGATTACATAGTTATATACGAATGTGTGTCGTTCTTTCATAACGAATGATTTTGCTCCAAGATCGAAGGTTCATCGAGCAACCGCTGAAGCCGGCACCACCGCCGATCGTGACAGTTCACAAGTCTAGCGGTTATAGCGGCTACAGTTCCACAACCCAACAAAATTCCACGATCTCCTCTTATAAGGTATCTCTTCGAAATAAGATTATTTATAATAAAAATGAAACGACTGACACGATATTTTTGGATACAATTTCAGGACAGCTCCAGTGTCAAAGTTAACGACTCGTCTGACAAACGAAGCATAAAGAAGTACGGCTCGAAGCTCGACACTACCGGCAGTCCATCTCGATCCAGAAGCGCCACAAAAGAACTCACCCGTAAGCATATCGTTTTTTTTAATATGTTATACCTCGAATATAGCTAGACTATTTAGGATAAAATTTATTTAATCTCACATGAATATATTGAAGTGCCCTCGGACGATTCGATGAGACCGCCGCAGTTCACTCAAAAGCTGAAGAATCTCACGATCAACGATGGCGAACATTTGGAACTCACGGCCAAAGTCGATGGCGATCCGGAGCCGCAAATTACTTGGAGTAAAAACGGCAAGGTAGACGCATAAGTCCGAAATCTATTCGTTATAATTAAAATCTAATTAATAAATTAAATAAAATATAAATTAAATTAATGCATTAAAATCACGTGCAAAAGAAACGTTTCTATTGATGATTATTATGTGTGTGTATGTGCGCGATAAAATTTTCTTATAGATGCTGAGCTCGTCAGAGGTCGTCGATCTCAAATACAAGAACGGAGTGGCCATTCTCACGATCAACGAGGTATTCCCCGAGGACGAAGGCGAGTATGCGTGTCTCGCGACCAACAGCATCGGCAGCGACACGACATCCTGCAAACTGACTATAAAACGTAAGAGCACATCCGCAATTCTTATCAAATAATTTGATCAATCAACGCGGTGTTAATTCAACTTCATATAATTCAATCTGAGCTCTAAGTGGGGATTTAATTTTGTCTTTTACTTTCATTTTTATGTTATCTTATTGTATATACTTTATTAGAAGCTAAATATGAAAGACGCGTGACGCTTAGTTAGTCCAACTTCGCTTTCCAGCCGTGGAGAACGCCGCCGGGAAGAAGCAGGGCGACGACAAATCGCCGAAGATCGTCGACCACCTGACGAGCAAGTACGTGAAGGACGGCGAGGCTGTGACACTCAGCTGTCGAATAATCGGCGCGAAGAAGTTCGACGTGGTGTGGCTGCACAACAACAAGGAGATCAAGCCCAGCAAGGACTTCCAGTACACCAGCGAGGCTAACATCTACAAGCTAATCATCGCCGAGATATTCCCCGAGGACTCCGGCACTTACACGTGCGAAGCTTTCAACGACGCAGGAGAGAGCTACTCGTCGTGCACGTTAAGCGTACTCGGTAAAAGAAATGATTGTCAAATCGTTTAACGGAAGAATCCAATATTAGACTAGACGAGCGACAGTATCTTAATTTTCATCCGTTCCACGTTTCTTCCAGCTCCAAACGAAGAGCCGAAAAGCCCAGCGTTCGCGACATTCCCGCAGTCTGCAACAGTGAGTGAAGGCGAGTCGGTTACTTTCACGTGCAAGACTGATACCGCGCCTTTGAAAGGTACGTAATTTTTTAGCTATAGCAACTTAAGTAAATAAGTAACCAAATAATTGTAATGATAATTTAGTAATTTAAGTAAGTCATTTTTTAATAATTTTCCTCGCCCTCCCTACGTTCCGTTAAGCGGCCAAAGCAGCGCCCACCGTGTTGTTAACAATATCACGAATTTTCCAGTGACTTGGTTGAAGGATGGCAAGGCGATCCCCGAGACGAGCAGCAGATACCACTTCAGCTCGGACGGCAGCACGTCCTTCGAGTTCGGCATCAAGGCTTGCACAGCCAGCGACGTCGGTCAATACTTGGCGCGTGCGATCGGCCAGAAGGGCGAGACAAACTCGGCGTTCGCTCTCAACATCGTCAATCCCGGCGAGCTGTGAAAATCGATCTTGGTACCGGGTTACACGTCGATTATCATCGCGGTCGACGATCGAATCGGAGCATCTCTGACATACATTCTTCGCGGAGAACACGTTTCTGGATCGTTTCGCGAATATCAATGGGCGCACGTGTATACCTCGGTGGGTCTCGTATTTATCCGAATACGTTCTCCAAAAGGATCTGTATCTCCTCCGCTCTCGCACGCGTCCGACTTGTGGACGATCGTTGCCGCGCCTTCCACACTCTCGCCTTTCTGCTTTTCGTGAAATTTAACCGGAATGCACGCGATGCGAGCGAAGAGTCGAGCCGGAGCGGCTCGGCCGCAGCGAACATTTTTAGAGTATGTGACGTCCTTATATAACAGAAAAGAAGAGAGAACTGGAGGACTAATTATTTATCTCTTTCTCTCTCTCTCGCGTATTCTATATGTAAATTATTCTGGAACGCTGTATTTTCTTCCTGTGTGTTTGTCATGATGTCGCATGATCCGCGCGAATCGTCGGGATCGCGGCTCGCTGTCGCGACGAGAATCCGAATTCGCCGTCTCCGCAACAAGCATTACGGATAGCACGCGCAACTACTACTACTACTACTACGCTAAAATTATCGGCTTTGCTGTATTACACGACTCGGCACACATTCGAGTACACGCATCTACTTAACGGGCATATCACGAGTGTGGCATCCAAAAAAAAAAGAGAAAAGGGAAAAAACGGGCATCTCGTGGGATGTCGACGCCCGCGAAAGCGATTTTCCCGGCGAGACTGCCAGCATCCTCAAAAAAAGAAACATCCGAACATACGTTTTTAATACCATCCAAGAATCTCGCCGGGGGAATCTCTCGATGGCGTTAGGAGTACGCAAGTGTTGTTACTGTCGCGATGTGCCCTCCTATTCCATGTTAATGGTACGCACCGTCGTGTTTTACTTGTTTGAAGACTGCTTCCGTCAAAAAATTTACGATAAAATGAAACATACAATTTAAAATGAGTCTGTTATGACAGTTATTACACCCTCCTATCTTAACAATCGATCTATTCTTAATGTAATTTCTATTAATTTTTCCCATACTCATTCCCGAGTTAGCGTTTGCGTTTGTATCGAACAGCAAAGGAATACGGTACGCTTTTTGTATATTTGATAATGAAGATAACCGGTATAAATCTTAAGGAGAAAACATATAATTAATGTAACTGTAGTATAAAAATCATATAGTGAGAGACTAGATTCCATGCTAAAGCAATCGCTTGTCAAGCAAGAGATTTTCATTATTTTCAAGTTTGATTTCTGAAATTGTCACATCGCGTATATGACACTAGGATTTTTTAATAGGAAAATATTTTTTTCGATTGTGATAGAAACAAAGTGTCCAAAATACAAAGTTAAGCCTATAAGATTTTCAACTGAAGATCGCGATACTGCATCATCCCTTAGAGGTAAGAAAACTTTCAAATATTAACAATAAACGAGCCTGAAAACAAAGCTTGATTCTCCAAAGCGGAACATAAATTTCTTTCTATAAAAATTACAGTTGTGACGTAACAAAGAGGAAGCCATAATAGTACACATAGTACTGTCTTTTCCAGAATACTCATCAATTCAAGCTCTGTGGAATTATTGAAGAAGAAAAGAAGTCATAGACAATAAAAAAAATTTGTACTTTTTTTGTATATTTTATAAAAAAATTATGTACAGAAAGTATTTCCATATATGCAACGATGTAAAGTTTGCACAATCATTAAGTATTCATTTGACATTTCGTAATAATTTGAAATATATAACAATCGGTAGAGAACATCGTGACACATAAAAATAAAAGTCAACATATTTTTTGGAATATGTAAACATGTCCGTTCTTTCTGCAACATTTACATTTTTTGTATTTTTATTTAGCTCTTTCTCTCTCATATTTAATCAATATTTAATTAACGAGAGTTGACCTACATTGAATTTGATAAAAGTTTGTCGTGTGTAAGTGATCTGGATGAATTAGATTAAAAAATCTTTTTGGGGAGTGGGCAAAGGAACGGAATTTTATTTGATTTTGTATACTTATGCTATGCACGTGTAACGTCATTTTGTCACCTAATTCTGTACAAGTTTTCGAATCAACGCATACTAGCATAATTAGATCGTTAAGATACTTATACTCATAAAGTGGGGGTGTTAAAAGTGATAAACACGCATCCTGTTCTGTATGCAGTAAGTATTTCGAACTTGAAACGTCATTTTCGAATTTCATATACGCGACTCTCTTTTCAATAATACACTTTTCCATGTCACATTTCTCTGAGACAAATCTTAAAAGTTTTTCATCTGAATCATCAATGTCTGCGAAACATATTATGTAAATTGTAAACTTATTTTCTTACATCTACATAGTGTATAAATCATAATACTTACCAATGTAACATGGCAGAGTCTTGAGCGTCAGCATTGGTATCTCGCTTGGCAAACATGAAAATAAATTATAATCACTATCTACACCCGTTCTCGTTTTCCATTTGTTTTCATCAGGAAAGTAGACATAGAACATGAAAGTCAAATCTGCAGAGACAGATGTTAAACAGAGTCTAATATAAATTTTTTATGGCAGAAAGGCAACAATTTTCACACAGAATCTATAATATCTGAAGATGTCAGCAATCTGACAGAACTTGTTGATATAGTCTGTTAGTAATAATCAAGAACAATCTACGCTGAACACCTCCGAAACTGCCGTTAGATTAGTGTTCATTTCCCACATGTAAAATTTTGTCTGGCTCTTACAATCAAAGTCTATCGAAGCTCGTACAAGTTATAATTATTTGCGCATCATTTATGCGTGCATTTAGTGCGAGACATGTTGACGTCACTTTGCTGACACGTTCTGATTTAATTTGCTGTCAATCTGCCGACATTTTGCTAATATCTTACTTACAGGCGTTCTTGCCTTTATCAATCTCACCTCTAAAGGAAGAAAAAAATTTCTGTTTGTCTTTCATATGTACACACTTATATATGATTAATTTTCCATCAAAAACGTAATGATCAGGAACAGTGGTAAATTCCCAAGGCAGGTTTTCACCTGATGTCCACAAACCTGTGTCATCGAAAGAAAAACATTTAGAATGAATAATTAACAGAATCAAATGGTACCTTCGCACTTAACGTCTAAACTCCTATATATTGTTTAAATACAAAAGCATAAATGAATATAACAAAAAAAAAATATTTTATCAATAAAAGATAATTTTAAGATTAAATTCGTAAATTATAATTATGAGAAGCAGTTCTATGTAACGTGATGTAAAGAGAAAAGTTGTATACAATAATTTTCGTTTTGATTAATATGCCTAAATTGAAGTCAATCATTACATGTATACTTTTCACGTTATATTAATAAACTGCGCATTGTGCAGCTGCATAATTAAAATCACCTGTATAGATGTTGTAGATGTCAACACTCTGTAATTTTTTTCGATATCGTCCCACGCCGCCCACAAGTACCAAATAATTGTTCAAAAACACAGCAATCATATGCCTTCTTTCAACTGGCATTCTGCAATATTTGTAGAAATTATTTTAACATTTTATTAAACTAACATTATATTACTCCTATTATTTACGTAGCCATTAAGATACTCACACTGTCTCAAGATGCCATTTTTTAGATATCAAAGAATAACGCCACACATTTTTGTTAAACTTGCCCGTACCAATACCAAATTCTCCACCACAAAGATATAAGTCGTGTCCTAAAAAAAATCACATAATATAATAAATAAATAGAATACTGTTCTAGATAAAACAGAATAAATGAAAACAGACATACTTCTTGCAATAATCTGCATTCCCGCTAATGTATGAAATCTAATGCTACAATCGATAATATCATCCGGATATTTGAATGAGGTAAGCTCAAAGAAATTTTTCCCATCCCAGCAATGAATAAATTGCTCACTGAGACATGTAGCCTCATTGGCTTCACAAGATATAACGCCATGTAAAATTTTTGTTTCCTTATTTCGTAAGATATCTGGAGAAATTGTAAAATCCTTCAAAAAGAGAAAAGATTTTCTTATATACAGAACTATAATGTGTTAAATGTGTAAAAGTGCAAAATATTCGACGATGATTTTCTTAATGTAAGACAATTTGTTTTTTAACTCATTTATGGTGAGGTAATGTGGCGTAGAGTTTCTTTATATTATTCCTAAGATTAAATCACTTTATGATTTATTCTCGGGAGCTTATTTTCTCTGAATTATTTAAATCGCTTTAATTTTAAAATTTTATTTTTATGTATAAAGATAATATACCCACATGATGATAGTTCATCCATTCTTTTGCGACATAAAACAAATAAGATTCTGTGGCTCTTATATTAGTGTTCCCAATTAATTTCACAAAATTTTGCTTTGACAGCTGATAAATAGAATTGAGTGGCAATTCATCAAAGCGATCTAGGCAAACTGCCAAAGAAAGATCTCGTAGCACATTGAGACTTAAGTCCTGTGACAATTTCCAAATATCAACTGCACATGTTGGTGACATATAATGTGTCTCGAGTCTGTCGATTATGCATTTTTCTAAATTATTTGTTAGAAATAGAATGCTTAAATCCAACAGGTGCCAAAGACGATTAAAACCTTCTTCAATACTTATATGGTCTACCGCAAGTCTGTCATTGTGAATCCAATAAATGAAATCCTACAAAATTATTATTTCTTTATTTGGATGGCGCAATGAGAAGCAATTTTTATATTTTTGTTTATTAAAAATATATTTTATTAAAAATTGTGAAAAATTCGCTACATAAAAAAGCGAACAAATTTTACTTTTAAAAAGAAATTTCATTCTTAAAAACCGAAAAAAGAATTTCTTATGCTGCAAATCGTAACTAACCTGCAACGTATTTGGGGAAACATCATAATTGACAATGTGCTCCGTTAGGCGACGTTCTAAATAGTTCACGGACATAAGCGCAGCAAAATACTGACTCTTGCCGATTAGGTTTTGTTTATCAACTTCGAATCGATGCGCACCAAGAATTAACGTCACTGTTTCACGTTGATTCTCATTTTCTTCGTTTCTGTTTTCCATTCTAAAATGTGCTCGCTGAAATAAATATGCAAAACAATTGGCATTATTTTCTTTCAGTGTGTATTTAATGTTCACGTGGCATTAACTATTAACACTACCGTCTGCTGTTCTGTAGAATTACTTAGACACAAGTTTGGAGTCTGGAATAGTTTAGACAATGCGCTTACAAATTTTTATTCGCCGTGTGTTTCAGGCCATCGACGAGGTATTATTAAGGACGGTCGACACTCGACCGGCAAATTTTCATGCTGCGGACTCGGGGATAATTGAAGAACGATGACATTACCAACCAATTTGATTGTAGGATAAACACCAGGATACATACTTAGGATAAACACGATCATATCTATACGTAACCAAATTATTATTTTATTATCTGCGGCAGTAAAAATTTTACATGAGAAGTTTAATTTATTAAAACTATATACATATAAGTTAAAAATATTGACCTTATGTGTATGTACTTTATTAATTATAAATGCATTTAACCACTTTCATGTAAAAACAATTACAACCACATTAATTATTTCTCTTCCAGATATTTAGATATTTAAATTTAGATATTTATAAATTGACAAATAAATAAAAATTATTTTAATATTATATAAAGTTCATTGCTGTATGTATATGTATGTATGTATATACAACATCAAAATTGTATTATTTAGCTATTTGTGATACCGTGATATCTTTCAAAAAGTGGAAAAGAGATTACGATATTATCGACGACTAGTCATATCGAGGTGTTCGATATGACCATACGAGGTGTTGGAGTCAGATTTGAAACGAACGCAATAGATTTATATATATTTCTTATACCAAGTAAAATTTTATTTGACGATATAAAAAATATAATAAATCACGCGATTAACATTTTGAGCGTGTAAAACAAGTGCGATCGTCAGATTCTGATGATTAAATAATCGTGATTCCGTGCTTCAAGTTCTTCGACTATTTATTGATAATATAAATTTATTTCTTCCTGGGAAAAAAAGTTCCACATATATAATTATATATAATTATATGCAAAATATGTCCATAAACGTTTCTTTCCTTTGTAAAATTATTCTTTTAATTATTTTTTATGTTTCCTTCTTATCATTATTAATTTTGTACTAAAGAATAATTTTACAAAGGAAAGAAACATATATAGACATATTTTGCATATATTTATTTCTATAATTATATTTAATTATATGTGGAACTTTTTTTCCCAGGTTATTGATTTTGGTTTAATAAAATGTCGTGAAAAAAGTATATATTTTTGGAATTAAAATATGTGTGATTGTAATGATCTGTTTTGCAAATAAGAATTCATAAACGAAGAGGAAGGAGGCTAGGAGGAGGAGGACAAAGCCGGCGAATAAGTAATGGTCAACAGAACAAATATATAGTGAATATTTTATTATTTATTTATCATTTTTATGTCATATGCGAAATTGATTGTATATCCTCGTGACAGTCGTATAGCCCAGTCCGTTCACCATTTCGTATCTTTGTATTATAGTATGTACACGGATGGCGCGAAACTGCGTTGTATTTTTTTCTCTAAACTTAGTATCGACGGGCTTGAAGAGGAAGAATCATATAATAGGCATGCACGATTAAAACGCCTAAGCTATTTGTCATTGACGGACAACGTTCGATCTCTCGAAGCGGAAACTCGAAGTCGTCGTCGAATCTTTATTTTTAATTTCTTTTTTAAATAAATAAATCGTCGGTTAGTTAACAATTGATCAAGTTTTCAAGTAAAACGTAGCCTTGTTTAGTCAAAATCTTGTAATTATCGAAGATTAGTATATCATTGCGAGAAAGCGACGATTTCGAAGTGAAATCGAGAGCAAATATTGATCACAATCGCGGGAGATCATACTGGAGGAGCTGAGCGAGAATAAATATAATTGAGATACACGATGAACAGCATAAGATCGCGATAGTAGGGAAAACTACGCACCTAAGCAAGAAAAATTTGCAGAAAGGTTTAGCAAAACCTTTTAATTTAATATAATAACATACAAGTAAGAGACTTGTGAAAATTATCTTCTCAAATTCTGTGTAAGTAGCTTTTCAAATTATATAACACATTAAATAACAAACTATCAATAACCTGCAGCTTTTGATAAAAAAAATAACATTTTATCTCTCCATGTATTATATTCATATAGAAACAGTATAACAACAGCGATTTCCAGGAGACGGAGAAGATTGAATTATGGTGCGAAGTTGCTCATCTTGCTGTACCGTAAATTGCAATACGCTGGCATTATCGAAGCCCCGGTGGTATTACTGCAGAGGATCACGATCTGTATACTGATCGCGAAGATTGAATTACCGCAGCTAAGTGTACCCTCTGACAGGCGAGACGGTCGAACGAAGCGCTGACCTCCTCTTCATCGCCCAGCTCCGCGTGCATATGTACGTACGAGTGTAGTCTACGTGCGGCACTCTCTATCTTTAAAAGAAGGAATCGACGGCGGTCTCCTGCACGAGGTACCGATCACGACGGTGCGGTTTCTCAGATCTCGTTGACGTGCTGATGAATGTTGTACGCCCGTCCGCCCCTCCTGGACTCCTTCGGCACGACGACCCGATGCTGCGGCACCACGGCCTCTGCTTCGAGCTTCCTCTTGGCCTCCTCGGTCGCGTTTCTCTCGGCCATCAGATCGCTCGGCCTGGAGTAAACGAACGTGGTCTCCGCGCCGTGGGACTGCCCGATGGTCGCCGAGCCCTTCAGGATGTTGTCCTGGGCGCTCAAGAGCTGCTTGAACCGCTCGTCGCTCCTCTCGTTCTGGACGACATCGACCATGTTCCGGGCCGACCTCGACGACACGTCGGTTGACGGTCCCGCTGTCCGTTCGTTATTCGTCATTTGCTGTGGATGATGGTCCTGCTGCCCGTTGTCCTTGCCCGTGAGATTCAGCTTTGGGTTCAGGTTGAGACCGAGCCATTGAGTGAACAGCGCGATGCCCTGCTCGGCGCTGGCGGACACCGCGGCGATCAGCTCGTCGGTGTTCAGAGTGTCCTCCTCCTCGTCCGCGTTGTCGGCAGGCTCCGTTGTCTCTGTGATGCTGCGCAAAAATTATTGTGAAAGAATTAATAACAAGAAATTCTTTCCTAAGATTTTCTCACGTTGTGCGAATGCGGTTAAATCGTTACGAGTTTTAGAGATACTTACGCGGAGACCTCCGCTTGACGGACACCCTGATAGAAATTGAAGCATCCTATGGGATATGTGGCTTGCGGGGTGCCCAACAAAGCAGGCTCGATTACCATACAGCCATCGTAACCACCGACATCAGATTGCTTCACCGATGTGAATCGCGCGCAGATTTGTGCCAAATCCGACAACAGGTTCATGCATGTCGGTTTGTTGGCCGCGTTCGCTGCAAGGATGTAAATATCGTCAGTTACAAATTTAAATTTATCGATTAATTTGTCGTTTGTTTGATGCAAAAAATGTAGACATTGATAGATTAAATCAAAGTATAATTTACATATATAAAATAAAATTTTTTTTAATGTGCAAATATTTTCAATGCATGCATTTTAGTTCAATTTAAATTACAAATAATTTAAATTGTAATTAAACAATTTTTTATCTAATTTAAAATTCAATACAGATAAAAGATTTCTTTCTTATTATTACGATTTGACTACTTGCCGATCCTTATCGTTGCATTGTGAATTGGATTATCGCCGTAGCTCAAATTTAACGAGACATTCTGCTCTTTCTGCTTGATGTTGACGCAAGCCGGGCCACCTAGATCGATAGTGGCCGTCAAGTTCAGGTCGACGCAGCAGAGGCAACCGGAAGTCTGGCACAGGCATTTGGACTGCGACGTGGACGATCTCGCCTCGGCCTCCGGCAGATCCCACGAGAGCAAGGTCTCTGCGGATAGGAAACGCATGTGTGTGTATGTGTGCGCGCGCGTACACGCGCGCACGTGTATGTGGGAGAGAAAGAGAGAAAGAGAGAGATAAGGAACGCGCGTGGCAGAGAAACTCGGAATAGAGAAATCGGAACGAAACGAAAGTCGCGCCGTCGATCGAAAGTCAAATGGAAGCCAAATTTCTACGCGTTTCACCGGCGCGTCGTAAAAGTTCCTTTGGATTCCCCTTTGGAGGAATGACGAATCAGACTGTGACATTTGAAACGTTTATGCCCCATGTTTATGGATCGGGGAACTACACTTGGGTGCTAAGTGTGCCAATGCGTGGATTTCCATCGACGGACTTTCTCGCGCATTGTCGAGCGGCCGAATGACAGTTTTGAGGGCAGCTTTTGTCAGATTTTCACGGACGACGATTGACAATGAAGACAAAGGCGACTTAGAATCGAATAGCGTAAGATGAAAGTGAAATTAGAGAATGTATCTAATTTAAACTGTCATTGTAAAATTCTTATCCCAAAGATTTTATTCGATTTTATTACGTTTATTCGAAGCGGAGCAACAATTTGAAAATAATTCTAAATAAGAAATGTTTAAGAAAAAATGCAAAAGAAATTTGTTCCTAAGATTTTCTCACATTTTGCGAATGCGGTTAAGTCTTTCTTTTAGAAATTAATTATAAATATAATATATTGAGAAAAGAGCTTCCTTTTCTCTTTAACAAAACTGTCAACAATATTTTTCTGGCAAAATAACAAATGTGAAAAGAATTATTTTTTTTCAACATTAAACTATCATAATCACATTCACAAGTTAGCCTTACTCCGCAAGACGAATTAACGAAAACGATCGACATTTTGTTTTTCAAACAAGTAGAAAGTAACCGGTAATCTCTTTATTGCGATCGCGTTTATCACGTGAACGATATATACAAAACGACAACAATCGCAGTCGCGCCGACGCGAGCAAACACGTGCGTCCGTATCGTCGGCGCATTGAAATCTCCGGCGCGGCGCGCGTCGCGGTCACCCGCGCGAACCTGAATCTTCGCACTATGCAGCGGTTTTCTTAATCGCATTTTGCCCCGAACAGCTCACCGAGCAATCCAGCGGACGCGACGACCACCAGCGTGACCATCAGCACCAGAATCGTGGCCCTCACAGCCATGGCGTGTTCCCCAAAATTACTGTTCGCTCAACAGGGCCGTGGCGGAGAACGATCGCGCTCGATCCCTCGATCGAGCAGCAAGTCGGGATGAATCGGGATCTATCGCGGTGCTGCGACCGCGCGAGTGACGGACGATTCAAAATTGAACTTGACGCGCGAGTGAGGAGATCTTCGGAGATCTTGCACGGCAAAGAAGAAGCTTAAATCTGGACACGGCGCCGGTGCCACGAGTGCCGGATCGCCGACCGGTTCGGCGGTCGGCACGAAAACAGGGGACAGGATTGGTCAGGACCGTTGTGTCGGTGGGGCACCCCGGCCGGCCACCGTCGTCGGTGCGCGACGCGACGCGACGAGGGGGCAACAAACGGCGGGCAAGGAACCTCATCTGGGTGACCGGGTGACCTCCTTCCTCCGTCAGCCTGGTACCGCGGGAGGGAACTCGCGAGCGCCGCGCCACGCCGCGCGCGCCGTGCCCCTCCGCGACGCGTATCGCGGCATAGGGCTACGACGAAATGGGGTACAGAAGGCATTGGGCTACTCTTCGGGGATTATTGTCCGCGATGCTGGAAGAAGCCGATGCTGCTTGAGGACGATTTTCTTTTGCGATCGCTTGATGAAAGCTTTGGAGATTCGAGACGTAACGGGTCTGCAATTTTCTGGAAATTTTTGTCGAAAGCGGAAAAATAGAAACGCGCAGCTTCTCTCTTTGGAAATTCTTCCCGAGAATTGTCATCTCGCGACACGTCTTCACGCTTTTATGCGTGAATCTTTATCGCGAAGCCGTGAAATCCATTAAAGTGCTGTTGTCACAAATTTTCTGCGATAAAATCAAAACCTATTTTCTCAAATTCTTTTAAAATAATATTATCAATTTATCAATAAATAAATTTAACAGCACCGAAATTATCGAAGAAAAAATAGTTTTACAATTAATACTTTGACAAACAATCGTGCACTTGCAACTCATAACTTTATAAAATTACTAAACGTACCATTTTCGAATTTCATTATCGCAATTGCTGACTTTTTAGTCTCTAAATTTCCATGCGAATTATTGAGAAAAATTTCCGTGAACAAGAAAAGCACTTTCTAACATAAAGCATCCACACAAAAAAGCTCGTTTTACTTTGCGTGCGTGTGTTTTCTAATTTAATAACGTGCCGGACGTCTCTCCTTTTTCCCGCTTGAGGACCCTCTCCTCAGCTTTCACCGTTTGAAGAAAAGTCACCATCTTCAGCTCGCGAACTGCAAAATCACTTACGATTCCGTTCTGTCGATTGCATAGCGTGTCGCGTTCTTGATGTTTTTCTGTTTTTTTTTCTTCTTTGGACGTGCGCGAGCGTGGGCGCGGTTCGCCACGCGTGACTACGAGAGACGGGAAACGGAGCGAAATGTGTGCTGACGTGACCGCGGAATGGACCGAGTGAAAAGACATTCTCCCTCGAAGGGGAACATTCCTCTTTGAAATAGACCCCATTCATTAACAGCAGAAATGCAACTTTCTCTATTCGCCTGTAAAATTTATTTATTTATTTATTTTGCGTTGGAAACGCGTGTAAATATGTTGACTGCCGTTCGACGAAGCCACGAGACGAGGTCGCGAAATGTAGATTACGGTTTCCCGTCAATTTCGTATAAATACACCGGACTGAAAAAATAGATCGATTTCTCTCACGCGGCCTGTCAGAATTACGTCAGACGAAGAAACGATCGGAAGCAATGCGCTCGTAATCTGCACTGTCATCGATCATCGCCGCGGAAACGATCGTCGGTTAGATAATTGCGCAGATAATAGCGTCTGGTGCCGTCGTCAGACGTCAATGTCATGGACACGCGACATTATACTTCGCCCCGATCGCGGATCTAATCGCCGGCAAGTGCGGTCGCACTGATCGAAATCACCCGCGAGCCTATTTTCTTTTTTTATCTTTTCTTCGCCCCAGCAATGCGATGCAACCGCGGAGGGAAGTTGGGATCCGAACGACGATTATCCCACGACGTTACGTAAAAACTCGTTTACCCCTCCCTCCCCCCCGTCTGATCGGGATGACCCACATATTTCCGGGTCGCGCACGTCTCGTTCATCGATTTAGGAACTCCCTGAAAATCGAGTTATCATATTAATTAGAGATAGCATCGGGTAGCGATGGGATCAAATCGATGCGCTTTGTTAACTTCCGCGCGATCCCGTCGTCGAAGACATCTGTACACTTCTTCGAGTTTTTTGAAACAGTATTTATTACAAACAATTTGACATTGTATTAAAAATCCACTTGACGTTTAAAATGTATTTTAAAATTAGGATTTGGAATTTCTCCTCTGTAAGTTATTTTTATTTAAATTTTAAGTATTTTTACTCAAGATTGTATCTAGGGTTGTAAATAATAGCGTTTAAGATTGTCCTTGGAGTAGCTTATCGTCCGATAAGCCACTCGCGATAAGCTTGACGCCATCGCTATCGGCGACCCACGGCCGGGCATCGGGGAACGAACAGACAAATATTAACCAAGGTAAACCACTCCTGGCCACTACTTTCTTCGACCCACTAACCGGAAAAAGGTCCCTCCTTAACCGCCAAAACACGATTTCCGTGGAATCGATCGGAGGCGAACGAACGGACGAACAAACAAATGAACGAATGTATGAACATACGAGCTGAGCACCTGCATTAATTTCGCGCTGCACTTCGTGTCGTTCGCTGCGTTCCGAATATTTTTCTTCTCTTTCTTCTCCCGCACGACGACGAAACACCCGCGAGAGACTGGACGCGCACGAAAGTGGGTCTTCGGTTAGAATTTGTGTCGCGAACCGTGGTATTCACGGCTGGCACGAGTTTACGGCGTCGGCCGATCGTATCTATGCGCAAAAATTAGAAAATATTTAGAGAGATGAAAATAATTTGATTAATGATATTAATTCTCATGGCTGCATGTCTCTTTTTAATTTTTTTTTTTTACGATAAAGGTATTAATTCTTTTAAAGATTGAGTCACAAAAAAGTTGAGCTGCTAATTTATATATTACATATACTATATTATATAATGCATATAAGATTTTTGATTTATAATTGTGTATTTATAATATCCACAATTTTATTACAACTATAATAAAGAATTTTTCTTTGGAAAGCATTAAAGAAAAAAAGAATATTATTTTTTAAGTATTAAGATTCTTTTATTTACGCTTATTATTTTTTTCAACAGTTGTCCGATAGATTAAAAAAAAATTTATTAATTACCAGGAACTATGTGCGAAGCAATGATATGGATGTCAAAGCAATTAGTATGTGCAATGCGAATTGATGTCACTTGCGCTAATCGTAGATGCATCGCGAGTCATCGAAAATAGTTTCGATAGAAAATAGTAGGTCAGGTTATTACAGTAACCACAAATTAATTGGGACCTCATAGTGCTCATAAAATCGAATTAACTCGCATATATGTAATTTTTTTTTCATTCGGAATACCCATATGCCATTGAACTTTTTTTTTGCGATAGCAATCTAAACGAGTTCAGATGAGCGTATCGCGAAGATCGTCCCCGGGGCGACTTGTCGCTTTTTCTGCCGGAATCCGGATGTAATTAAAGGACGTCGGAAGTCACCGGCGTGACTGTACCCCCTCCCGCGGATATTTTCGTGCGAGTTGAATCATCCGGAACCATCTTCATTCATCCGCGTGCACGGCCGGGCACCTGGTACCGGTTCACCAGAGAGATGGAAAAGTGGACTTCCCGCTTTCGTCGTCGGGACGACGGCGACGACGTCGTAGTCCGATGAAGGACGACGGAGGAACGGAAGCGAACGACGCGACGTGGTTGGCGTGGGGCCGCCTCTGATTTACCTAGAGCGCATTAGAATGTTTAATAATCCTAGCAGCGGCCTGGCGGACAGGTGGTGGTGGCCTGACCGACTTTTAAAGAAACCTTGGGGGGAGTTGGGCGGCATCTTCAGTTGGACATTGGCCTCCGTAAGACGAAGAGTCAGGGAAAAAGAGCCGTAGGGTGCAGGAGACAGGAGAGCACGAGTACGGCTGCCCCCTCGGATTTCTTCTCAACGACCCACAGGTGGGTAGAGTCAGCTACAATTTGTGCGTTCGGAGGGTTTGAGAAACTGGGAAACGCGCCGCGATAAAAAAAAAAACGAGAAGTCGTTCACCAAAGAATCAATCGCCCTGGCAATTAATTCTTTAATGTGGTAATGCGTGATTCTTTAAATAATCTTTATAAAACAATGTATATTTTCTATACTGCTTCTATACGTTTAGTAGAATCGCATGTTTAAATATCAATTAATAAAATATAGAGCTTAAATTTGTAAAACAGAATTAACGAACATTTTCTATTCTCTGCTTCTTTATATATGTTATACAAAATTGACGAAAATTTCGTTTGATATTTGAATTTTTCGTCAAATTAAACGTCACACATGCGGCGCATCAAATTAGATTTAAATACTGTATACATCTAGATCCGCGCCTTACATAATTATGTAATAAGTGCATATTATTCAGGTACAATATTTATTATATCTATCGTGCCTCAGATTAATGTCTTTAAGTGCAGATGGATGAAGCAGGTTATAGAAATCATTTTGTAGATCACCATTTGCGCTCAATCAAACCTTCTCTCGCACTATCACTTCCGCGATTCGCGGTCTCCGCACGAGACACGACGACGCGTGAGGAATCGATCTCACGCATGTACGACACGTCGAAGCGTAGCCCCGACCGTGTCCAGCGCCTTGACCATATGTAACGCGCTTTATAACGGTGACACGAGTGTGTCTGTCCCGCACGTGTAAACTGTAAAGTCGTGCGTCTCCTCGGTCGTGCTACTAAAGTCCGCCATCGAGTCTCTCGAGTAAGCGCCTTTCTGACGCACGCCTTTGACCGTGACCGGGATCTGGGTCAACCGGTCGCTAGCGACTATGAGAGGAACTCGCGTTTGAAACCGGAAGGAGAATACGTTTTTCGCCGTGCGTCTGGAGCGATTTGTCCGATTGTTTATCTGAAAGATAAAAATATCCGCGGTGGTTCCGGTAGAGATGTTTTGATGAATCGGAAGGTAGAAAGGTACGAAGAATTGCCGCTCTATCTCGACGATTGATGAGCGGAACGGGTGTCTCTATTGTTCGTCGACGAGAATTATGGGATAATCATCGGAAGGCGGGAGAAACAATTATGAAACACGTTCAACACACTCTTTTTTTTTGTTTTGTTTAATATGGCTTTGTGAATGGCAAGTTTAACGCGCAAAATTGAGAAGCGTGAAATCTTTAAAGTTGCTCAATCCACTAACGGGCTTTCGGGAAAGAATTTAATAATTGAATGTAAAATAGGCGTACCGAAAGCTTTAATTTAAAATTTAATTACGTAATAGGAAAATATAATGTATAAATCAGATGTAAAAGCTACACAATGACATTTGTCGCGTTAAGTCAGAACAATATTAAGTCGGCACGCGCGTCAAATTTGTAATGCTTTTACGATTTCTATTGTCTATGCCTTCTATCGGAATCGAAAGAAACTGTAATAAGACTGAGACGTGCGTGCCACTACATACAAAATGCATTTTTCACAGTATAATATTACGATCGCATTACATATTCTTGGCATTGTTTCCAGGACAGAGCGGAAGGATGCGATTGTCCACGATTTTTGAGCTATTGCTAATCCTCTTGTTGGTGGCCTTCGCGGCTTACGGCCGAGTAATTGGTAAGAGATATAAATTTGAGGAGAAAATAAACGATAGAAGAAAAAATAAATAAACCTAAAATTTGGAAAACATGAGAATAAATTTTAATATAAATTCTGTTGCATGTATATAAAAAAGCAATAATTATATTGTAAATCTCAATTTAGACTGTTGATAATTTACGTTGATAATTTGCAGATTTTATAGAATTCAGTTTATAATTTTAAATATATTTTATTTTGCATGATTTAAATATATATTTCATATTTACTTTAAATGTTTTTTGTATATTTTGGCATATAAAATTATAAATAGGATTCTATTCCAAATTCTGATACAAATTGTTATCTAAAGCTTAAATTCAACAAAATATTTGCAGATCGCAATGAGGCGACGCATCGGGTGACTCGTGCCGCGAATAACGTGAAGCAGACTGATATAGATCTATCGACGATGTCGCTGAAACAGGCGACCGACAGCGTAAACCGATACTGCACCTGCAACGAGAACATCTGCAATTGCTGTCGGGACTTTCACATACCGCTTGTGCAGCTGAAAGGACCGGGTAATTATCACGCAATGCAATTGTGCACGAAAAATGAAAGTGCAGTGCGGGAACGAGTATAATGCGTTTGTTATCTATAATACCGTCGTCGCGTATTGCGTGTGTCACATTATATGTTTTACATGTGAAGTAGAATTTTCTCTTGCATAGTAAAATTTATTAACTTTAAATTTATACTAAAATTTTTGCAAGGATATTATTTACGAATTATTTCACTGACGATTATTTACGAATTATTTCACTGACGAAAGAATTTTTTGTATTTAAAATTCTAGGATGCGCTTCGTTGCAGTACCTTCAGGGTGACAATTTGGCGGTCCAGCTGAGCTTCGGCGACAACATATTAACCAGCACGATCGTTAACGGTAATCACGTTCAGTAACGGTGACGATTAACAGTTCTCTTCCCGGCACTTTCTCTGATTAATGAACATCTCCCGTGAATTATTTATTACAGAGAAAATTTAAATGAATGGCAGTCTGAAAGCATAATTTTACGCGATGTTACAAAAACAAACAAACAAAATTACTGCGTTGACTAATTATAGCAAACTTGCTAATGAAATACAGTAGGATCTCTTAAATTTCTCATTCATTTAGCGCGATTCTGATAATCGTAGATTTCGAACAATAGCGTCATTACAAATTATGAAAAGAACTAGGTTTCATATAGATAACGTTGAGAGCATGCATCTCTTTATTTGGTGGTCAATTAATGTCGCGTGCCTCGTAAAAGACTAAATCACGCACGTGTACCGCGCGCTCGACAATATTGGCGAGAAAAGTGTGTTAATTGCGCGTGAATCAACGTTCGGTGGACACACATTAGCGTAACGTCCAGGAAGCTATAATCCGACTTTCACCCGGCGTGTGTGTGTCATTGTCAGTGGGACCCGTCGATAGAACATGTACGTGGCGTTTGAAACTTTTACTTCCTTTTAAAGAACGTGAAACTATGCGAAGCTATAATAACTACGTAAAAAATATTATACTTTTGCCCCGTTACACCGGGCAAATTTCACATTGTCGTGCCAGTTCCGTGTGCCCGTGTATACGATTTCTCCGGTATGCATTCGTGAAAAAAATGGATTACGAAGTTAACGGTGACGTGCAGGCGCCACTCGAATTCGTGTCAGTCTAGCGGAGCGAAAGTATTTACACAGACGATTTTTCGAAGATGTCGAGGCGTCGAGTATGATCATCTTTTTTTCTCTCTTTTTTTTTTATCGTATCTGACGACCTCGATTTGTTTGAACTAGACAGGATCTAAATCATGACCGATAATTGTATACATTTTTTTATATATTTGAGACACCTCCAATATTAAAGTTATAAATAACGCAGTTTAATAATTAGATATTTTACTGAACTTTGTATTTATTAGAAGTACATTATTTATATAAAAATTTTGGTAACAGATTTTATACGAAGAAAAATTATATGAAGTATGTGTTTTAAACATTATGAATTTCAGGAAAGAATCCGAAGCCTGTGTGCGTACCGCTACCGGGTGGCTTCACCAAATTCTGTGGCAGAGTTTATTCCATCCAACGCGATGCGAAGAATCACTTTAAGGCATGCCTCGGCTTAGAACTGCAATCCCCTACCGAGTTGGAAGCTACCCTCCGCGTCAGTTGTTTCAGGTATATACTTGTCAATAAAAGTATAACAGTCATTAATCAGTTTGAATTTTCTTTCTCCAAATTCATGAGATATAAGAAAAATTTCTAAGAAAAAAAAAAAAAGAAAATGTAAAAGGCTTAAGCGATGTTTCATAATTTAATTTTAAATTTCAGATTCGGTCCAGAGGGTCTGAAGCTTCGACCGGCCGAGCCGCTTCCAGTTGTCGAGACGGAAGCCGTTTCGGAAGAAGACGACGATGATGATTTTTTCGGGCTTGGCGCGGACGATGACGACGACGACGATGAGGACGATGAAGGACCCGCGAATTCCGTTCCCGAAGGCGCGGGAGCTGACGCACAGGAATCAGACGATGATGACGATGATGACGACCTGTTGGGCTTCAGTGCTCTATTGGATATCTTCACTGGCGACGACGACGTGCCGTCGAGACCTCAATTTACCACTGCGGCGCCGTTATTGGAATTCACGATACCGATTCTACCGCGACCAACAACTCCCTCACCGTTGGAGGATCACGAGCTGCCCATCTCGCCCAACAACGAGCAGGAAATTAACTACGAGGAGGACGACGACAGCACCCAGGAACCGTTCAAGACGGAAGAGGAGGAAGAAGATACGGGATTGATCGAGAGCAACACCGAAGACAACACTGACGAGAACAAGGAACAGGTCACGGAATCCTCCAATAAAATCGTGTACACCGCGAAACCCGATAAGGCGCCAACCGTCAATAAAGTGAAGAAGGGAGTCGTCGGAGACAAGAAGAAACCCACGGTGACGTCGACCAGTGTCAACGCCATCCACGATCCTGAGAAGCCGTCGAAGAAACCCATTAAGGATGAGGACGACGAAGATGACGACGACATTTTAGACGATGATGAAGATATCGACGACGAGGATGATGAAATTCTCGACGATGACGACGATGATAAGGACGACGAAGACGAAGACGAAGACGAGGAGGAGGACGACGACGACGATAAACTGGACGATGAAAAGCACGAAGAGCACGACGACGATGAAGAGGACTTGAAGACCGAGGATTTTGCCGATTTAGACGACGATGACGACGACGACGACGAGGAAGATGCTATGTTGAGTGCTCTTATAGGTACTGGTAAAAGTAAGAAGAGCAAAGAAAATACGAAGACCAATCAAACCAACGTCCATGAGCACGACGATGAGGATGACGGTCTTGGCTTGGGATTTTTTGCTAGAGAAAGGCATTCGGAAAATCATCAAAGCAACATCACGAGGCTTTGAAATTGTACAGACCGTTGCTCCAGTCAGTAGGATAATTGGGAGTTGAAGAAAGCTCATTCTTCTTATCTGGCCATGAGTACGTTGGCCCAACAAAACTCAAGGCGTTTTGTGTCGGATCAGCGGAGCGTTCGTCGAAGATTTGGTGGATTGGTATAATTGTGACAGTGCGACATATTTTTTAACGATAAGATTACAAGAGTCAACGTTTCTCGAAGCGTAATTTCGTGATGGTCTAAAAATAAAACAGGTGCATGTTCTTTACGACATGCTAATATTACTTTATAATGATAATCATAAAAAAGATCGTCAATTTTACAGTAGTTGTTAATTGATTTTATTGTTGGAAAATAAGCGGTTCACTTCGCTATCACAATTATCTTTTTGTGTAGTTAATTTTTTATTTATTGAATAATATGGAGACTGATACGAGATCTTAGAGCGAAGATGAAAGAGCTTTCTTGAGAGAAGGCTCAAATAGAATTGCGTGAATTAATGGGAAATTTTCACGTCTGGGAAACAAGATCCCGGGAAGATTTTTATATAATGCGAGAATTTGAAGGATGCTGTTTATGAGCAAGACTTATACCATATATATTAAATTGTTTGTGACCTCAGCCATAATAAATTGCTCGATTAGTTTAACGTTATTTATTAAGAGCAAATGAATATTTATGATTTATGTATTTATTAAGTTATTTATTGACTCTGTAATAAATAAATAAATATAATGCGTTATATACATATATTATACACCTTTCATAATTATAAATTAATTCGTTTTTATATTTATCAATTTTTATTATAATTAAATGCAAATTAGCAGTAACAAATTAATGGAGTACTAAATCAATTTTACCAGACAATTCTAGAAATAGAATTGGAATATCAATTAATATTATTATTGAAACATATGTATGTTAATTCAGCTCAAGAAACAGGCAAAACTTAAATGTCGGTATAAAATCTATTATTATTATAATAATAATTCAGAATGACATTTCGACCTAAATTGGTCTTCTTCTGCCGCTTTCCAAAATTAAAAACTAGAAAATACGTGCATTATATATAACTTTTAATGAAAACGAATTAAGCTCGCTCGTATTAAAAAAAAAACAGGAAATTTTATCATAAGGTTGACAAACAATTTAAATAGATGTTATTGATAACATAATAAAGATCAAGTTCTACATCAAATAGAGTAAAAAATTACAAAATATAAAAAAAGTAAAAAATTGCAATAGGTATAGTGTCGGTACATAAAAGTCAGTTGATAAAATATGTAACCAATTTATCGTTTCCTATCGAGAATGTGTTATGTCCGGATGTTGTTGGTATTTTTAATTATTCAATATTTATTCAAAAAAATGAGTAATAAGTTTTTTATCTCGTTGAAATTTATTTGTTTATTTAGTTGTTAATTCTATTGTGAATTGCAGGTGTCAAGAAAAATAATTAGCTCGCTAAGTCAAATACGCACAGTTCCGTGACGTACGATCTTTCGAATACACACGCAAGTGATCGTACGTATATATATAACGCGCGTATTTTCTAATTTTTAGTTTGATCTAAGACGGCTGAAGAGGATCAAATTGGTTAGTTAGTGAATTCGAAACGTCGTGACTTATTGTAATAATAGAATATAATTTTATATTTGAGGCCGTTTATTGGCCTGAATTAATTAACATACACTTTCAAAAATACGAGGGATAATTTATAATAATTATGAAAACATATTAATATTTTTAATAATTTTTATATTTTCCAAGATATAACGTTAAAAAAAATCTCTAAACATGCCAATTGAGTATTTTTACACTGACATATTAGATAATTTACACATGAAGTAACCATGTATTTAAGCTCTTTTGCTGCGCAATAGGTAGATTTAAGATTATTTGACACTGTTTAATATGTACGACAACATTAAAAGATAAGAGTTTTATAATAGGTGGGCAAACAAGTAAGATTTTAATAATCAACTCAGGCGTAATACATACGTGTTTTAAGACATACGGGCTCTTATCTTTGATATTTTCTTAAATCATGTGAAACGAAATCTTAAATCTCTTTGTTACATAACGAGAGCACTGGAATAGACGATTGTCTATTTAACGTATCATTTTAGATAAACCATTAAATTAATATACACATTCTTATTATCAAATTTAAAAATTAAATGCTAATTTTCTCGGTATTTGTTATAATTTTAGAAATATAAACAAAGATGTGAAAAATCAAGTTTTCTTTGGAGAAATGCTTGCATTAAAAATTGCGTTTTGTTGTCGAAATAAAAAATAGTTATGTAATTTGATTTGATCATGTACTACGTTTTTGCAAAGTTTCCGATTTTTGCGAATTTCTGGGTAGTTGAGTTTTCTCACAAATAAAATAATTATTTAAATTTTAATCTTTTATTTACTTAAATTTTAATAAAAGTAAAAGTAAATTTATATCTTTGTCTTCAATTGCTCTTTGCAAATGTCAATTGTTAATGACAAAAATTTTTAATTGAGCATTCTTATTTTTCCTACTATGGAAAGTTAATGCATAATTAATGAACCTGGTGTCTCTGTGTCTTGGTCCAACGTGTACCCAATTTCAGTCTTCTGTTGGCATTGAAGCGTGCAGGTTGTGCAGCTGAGCGATCATGTTATCTAAGTGGCTTCTTGTATCTCTTCTGGCTTTAAGTATCCAGAAGATATCTGCAGCCAATTACTTCGGTAATTATACTAATTATATCAAAAAAGGCAGAAATAGTTCTGTGAAATTAATATCTTTCAATTTACATAATAAAAAGGAAAATTAGTAACGCATAATTTGAAAAAAAAGCTCTTACTAAAGATATATGGAACTTCTATTTAAACGCTGTAGAAATACTAGTTTAATTATAGCAGGAAATTATAAGCAAAAAATGTTTTTTTGTTACAAATAGGTGGCAAATTATTGTAGTGCAACAAAAATAGCAGATTATATTATAATAGAAATATATATCATTATATTGTTCTGTGAGAGTGTACAAATTGAAGACAAAATGTATATACATTTAACTAGCACCATATTGTTTCCTTTTAAATAAATTTTATGTGTTTTTTAATTATCTTTGTAAAATATTATTGTTTTTTTAGAGATAGGAATATATATTTTTTAACACAACTTTTTCTTCACGTTTTTGATGTACTTATAATTTTTAAACGTTATTTTTTTAGACGCAACCAAATTCAATGAATTAAAAGAGTTGAACTCGCGTTTCGCACTGCCAGGAGTGACAGACGCGCTGGAAAATATTGCTAGCCCTTTTGCTGGTAACCGTGGTTTAAAGTGCGAGTGCGAGGAAAACCATCGTTCGTGTTCTTGTTGTAATACCGTCAACATAACTAAACTCAACATCAACCATCATGCCTGCACTAAGGTGTCCTTTTCCCCGGAAACTTTATCCGCTAGTCTCAAACTTATAGTAAACGGCAAAGAACTTTTCAGTACAGGTCTTTCTGGTAAGTATGGGTTTTCGTAAAATTTATGATTTACAAGCGTTTTTATTTAATAAAATTTAAATCCGTTAAAATTTGCATACATTAATGCATAATGTAATACATTAATTCGCAGGTGAGAACCCACCACCGTTCTGCGTGCCTATCGCTCCGCCCTTATCCTTCTGCGTGCGTGCCTACAATATTTCCATATCCAGAAGAAGTTTTCATACATGCATTAATCTCGAGGCACATTTTCTGAAATGGACGCTTTTGACTTTGAACTTCAATTGCGTAAAGATGGGTGCTGATGGAATCTCTTGGATGAAGCCCGGAGAATACGTTCCCGACACAGCGGTATTGACAATGACCGATCCAGAAATGAACGAACCGGAAATATTCGATCATGTGGACTTCGAGCCAGATTCCACTGATTTACCAACTAATCCTTCTTTAACTCCCGAGGAAGAAAGTAACATTGGACAGTTAAAAGTGTGATGTTATAATTACGAAATTATATGCATACAAAACGTTATGATGCTATAAATGTATTTATTGTAATTGTTACAGTTAATATATTTTATTTATCGTTGTATAATGTATGCATGTATTTATGATGTAAAGATATAATACATAAAATGTATATTGCAATTGTTTAAATTTGTTTTATTATTCTATAAAGCGTATATTGAAGTGCATGTAAGTGTTAACTATTACAAATTAGAGCGCATTTCTTCTCTTTGTTTCAAAGCTCTTGCTTCAGTTTACAGACAGTGTTTTCGAGAATTTCGCATACACACATTGTTATATTAATAGAGAATCATGTATTAATTTAATTCTTAGTTAATTCTGTTTAAACGCTGCATTTAAAACGCTAAATATTTGAGACACATGACAGAGCTCACAGATCATTTCCAGAGAATCCTGTCGCTTATCCGTGACGAGTTCTAGTCAATTACAAAATGCGGGCGAGCGAGCCAAGCCTAAATTTCACCATAAAACTGGGTCAGTATAAAGTACCCGTTAACCGGCCAGTCGAGTTTCAATCGCTCAGGAAGGAGGCACATCTCGAGGAGATGTCCTCTTGTTTTGCTTGAACGCCAGACAAGATCAAGAACGCAACATGATGAGGGCCGCCCGCTGGCTGTTGCTGATCATCGTCCTCGCGCAATCATGCTCGCTCCGAGAATCGAGAGCCGACGAGGGTTTCACGACAAGGGGAATCGTTAGCGGTGATCTCGAAGATCTCTCGAGATCGCAGGAAGATCTGGAGCAACTGCGGGTACTGTTGAGGCAAGCCGCGAATTCTTCGGCAGCGGAAAACGGCACGGTCACCGCGACCAGACAAGGACCCTGTCAGTGCGTCGGCGGTATCTGTGGATGTTGTTCGAGGATCCTGTACGACACGTGGAAACAAAAAGCCTGCGTGAACGTCACGTACGATCCTGACGAGTTCAGCTTCACCGCCAATATCATGATGAACGACAGAGTTCTTTATACACGAACTGTTTCTGGTAAGCGCAAACGTATAGAACATAAATCGGTGTTGTGACCAATTAATCTCGAAGGATTTATAGATAAAAAATAAATTATCATTTTCATGTAAATTATATTTTTTTCTTAATTTATTTTGTATCTTTGTAGGAAAGAACCCTAGACCAATATGTGTTCCTGTTCCAAGGCTACCGATCGTCAGGGCGTGCGTCAGATTTTATAATATATATTTCCAAGGCAGAAATATTCATCTGTGTCTCAATATGGAAGGAAAATTCCAGGATACTACGCTATTTAAGGTCAGATTTGAAAGTTTATTGCCTGAAGAATATTATTCCTCTCTCTACATACATATATATATTCAAATCTAATAAACGCGCAAAAAATTGCACGTCTTGTTGTATGTAAATGATTATAAAATACTTAAATAATTTTATCCAACATATTTATTTCCACAGGTTAGTTTAGATTGTCTTAGATTTGGTTCAAACGGATTAGCCCTGTTAAAGCCAGAAGACGGAGGTGGTTTAGGCCAAGTAGAAATTTTTCCGGAAGATGTGGACGATAATGCCGACTACGATGACGAGGACGATGATGACGACGATGATGATGATGACGACGACGACGATGACGACGACGACATATTTTAAAAATACTTTTTAAAAGTATATAATAACGATATTATAAATTATGTGCCATGTACGCATATTTATTTAAACATTTATTTATACATTTTAATAAATAATTGTATACGTTTACAGAAAATCATATTAAGCTTGATGTTTATTACAAGAAAAAGAAATGTATATGATATACTTTTAATTCGCGTTATAATATTTCTACTTGCAAATATCGCGTACTTTCTTTTTACATTTAAATAATTAGTTAAATATTAAATAATATAGAAAAAAAGATATATATGCACATTTGTAATATTTGTAATTTGATGTGCAATGTATCTTTATTACAACAATATGCGTTATTTTTTTATCTCGTAGAGAACAAATGCTGCGTGCACGAACATAATGGTGAATTTAACGCTCGTATATAATTCAGAGAGTGGACAAAAACGTTCCGGATATTTTCTAAAGGCTCGCGATACAATAGCTCGTGATTGCATCCTGTATGCTACGGCGAACGGAATGGTGAAAAAGTTGAAAGCGTTTAGTGTAAAACGAGACGTCGCTGGAACTCGATAATAAGTTAATTTACGAGGGAAACGCCCGTAATATTGCCCGTATTTGCCGTAATTAACGTAATGCGTAAATATGGATCTGCGTAGCATCGGTGCTCTCGTCTTCATCTGGTTGTGTCTCGTTCGCGAAATTATCCCCAAAAATAGAAGTTAGTGCAATTATCTCGATTTTTTATCATAATATTCAACATAGACGTGAGAAAATTTTGTATATTTCCATAAATTTTTCCGCGCGATTTATCGAAGAATTTGTGAAGCTACATGAAAAATATATTTTTCTCATTCATTATATATAATTTTTCTATGCGTGTGTGTTTGGATTTATTTTATTAGATGTGTATATCAATTTTTGTAAACTTAAATAGAGAAACATTTATTAGGCACCAACGTATCAAGAGGCTCCCTGATTTATAGAACGGTCTCGGTTGCACGACAGTCATGCAACTGCTCGGTGTCTTACTCGTGTTCTTGCTGCCAAAGCGTAATGATCTTGTATACGAGAAAGGAGAAAGATCGTGAGTCTACAGAAATTTGGCTTGGTATTTAAAATAGTAATTAAGGAATTGAATTACTAATATTTTATGTTATAGTGTGCGTTAATTTCACATATCAGAGGAATGGACTGAATGTGGATGTCGCGTTGAGTTCGGAGATAATCAGCACCAGAACAATCACGAGTTAGTATTTTCGATTTCGATCCGCGCGAATGTAAGAGTATGCACTAAATTTTCGATTTTGATCCGCGCAAATTTAAGAGTATGCACTAAGAAATATATAACTAAAAAAAAATGTATCATTTTCTATGCATTTATGCGTAAGCGATCTTATTCCCGTAAATTTATTTTACAGATTTCAAGGCGTTCCACTTCTGCGTGTTCGTTCCCGGTTGCCTTTTCTCGACCGCGTGTGTCAACATCTTGGAGCTCAATCAATTTCCTAGGCACGTTAAAATAATCATTTTGCTAATAAAAATAATTAGAAATCTGCAACCAAGGGAAAAAACAGAGAGAAGAAATTCAAAATTTATCTCGAACTAGTTAAAATTCTTAAAATTATTTTCACACTACTGAAACTATCCACAACTTGTCTTTAAAAACATTCGTTTTCAATTTGACCTGCAATTTCTAAAAACACGATCCTTCCGTACAGATCGATTACGGCTTGCCTTCGCCTCGACATTTACGCCAAGAAACAACTTTGGCAGATTAATTACGATTGCATAAGCGTATCAATGGATTTGCCAGTGTCGACTAACGAGACGATGAGAATGACGGACACGACGATCGAAGAAACATCCGCGGCAGGAAGTTCATCATCGATGACCGAGTCAGTGACAGAGATAGCATCGAGCGAGACGGCGATTATGCAAACGTCGGAAATGAGTGGCGCGGAAATAAACGGAAGGCCAGAAGAAGTGGAAGATTTCACCGAGATATTCGAAACAACTTCCGAAAAAGTAACGCCGATTAAGTGATTATAATTTCGATTATATAGATATAACGGAATTAAAAATATCTATCGAAAAAGATAAATAAATTTGAGATTTCGTGGAACGACAGATAGCGAGATAAGAGCAACATAGTGAACTAGATGAGTAACGTGCTTGACCGAATTACTAACAACGGCGATAGATTCCTTCAGCAATATTTTATTTTATATTATTATTTTTTAATTTGTCATATTTAATTTTATTTTTTCATCTAAATATCATGTTTTCATAGTGTTAATGTAATAGATATTAATAAGTAATACAAAAGAATAAATTTTATCGTTAGCATTATTAAATTATTATCGAATGAAATGATTTAAGTATGAAATTTATCAAATAATGCAATTTTTTATTGTCAATCACATTAAAATTGTATGAACTTTTATTCGATATTCAATTATAATTAATAATATTACGCCAATTAAATTCTATAATACACATAAGTTATCGTTTTCTCTCAAACTTCCACTTATAAATAGGAGCGGCAGTCTTGGAGCCAGGTTTTACTAGTTTTGGTTTCCTGACCTTCTTGTCTTTCAGCGTCCTGCGCACCTCCAGCTTCTGTTGCACGACCGTCAATTCGCGTTCCCTGTCGATTCGCTTCTCGAGCTCCTTGTAAGCCATGTGTTTCTTTTGCTCGAGCTTGGTGATAGTCTTGTCATCCAAATCCGGCAGCTTCATGTTCTTGATCGCACTCAGCATAGGCCGATTCGTGCGCCTGGACAGAAGCGCCGGATGTGTGTCCAGTTTCTCGGCGAGGTCGAAATTCTTCACCTTGGCATCATCGTACACGAAGAAGGTGTGCTGATTCGGCGTCTTGTTGGCTGCGTCGATCATGTGCAACTGACTCTGCAGCTTGTTTATCTTCTTCGCCTCAATGTTCCTCTTGTACGCTACATATTTGAGATCCTGCGTCTCCATCAGCTTGATCTGCTCAGGCGTATGCTGATCCTCCTTGTCCCTCTCTCGATGAACGCCGTTCACCATTTTGGAGTTGATCATATGAAAGTGAAACTCATCAGGATTCTTATTCAGCGCGCGCTTCCTCAGAAGTTTGATCGTCGCCCGCTTCTCCTGGAAGGCCCTGGCTCTGGCAATGTAGTCCTTCTTCTTCTCCAGTAGCCCCAAGTGATTGCGGACCTCCGGTTGATGACGTTCCCGATGGGTCTTCTGGTTCGCCTTCGTGGCCTTCTTCCACGACGACATTTTAACGCTGCTCTCTGGAAGGTGTTGAAATATCGGAGGATTACATTACACGTGTCTACTCGAGAGTGAAATAAATGCAGAGATACAAGAAAATTCGATATAGTGCACAGAACATAGATATTTTATTTACGTTATGCAGCTTACCTTTTTTTCTTGTGTTCACGAAGAAAACGATTTATCTACACATCCGTAACGACTATAACGAGAGCGGATGATCTCTGTGAAACGTAACCTCACATTTACTGACACATGCTAAAACCACCACATGTACAACATGCTGCGTTCTATTTACGTAATCGGGTGATGTTTTCGAACGCAGCCGAGGGGGAAAAATATTTATTTTTTGTGTCTCTTTAATATTTACGAAGTCTCAAGAATGTGCGAAGAATTTTATTGCAAAATTCGGAAAATTGAAAATAGTTTAGCCTCCCTTTACACACGCCATATATTGACGTAATGACGTCTGCTCGCGTTCACGCTACTGCGCGTGCGCAGAATTCGTTGACGCTTCGCCGTACGCCCGTATGGCGGCGCAGCTGATGCAGGCGGCGTCTCACACGGCAGTCGGCAGTGTCGGCACGCCACGTTCACGTCGTACGGTTCTCTCCCGGGTTCTCCCGTCCGCGGGCGGTCAGTCCGCGTGAGAATTGAGGGGGCTTCGGAGATGTATGAAAACACGCGCGTGTCGCCGCGAGTATTCACGGCGATACAGAATGTCGATATCAAAGAGCTGTCTTTGTGCACGCACAAGGAGATCAGGCCCATCCTGCCGTGTTTGGTTAGGATGAGCCTCATCTCGCCGTTGGACATAACGAAGGACTGCGTGGAGGGTAGAAAGCAAGTCTTGACGATATTGTCCGGCATCGAGTCCGTCAATTCTATTATCGCTTTGTTGTCGATCGATTTCCACGCTCTCGAGACCGACGTGCGACAGGAGCAGCAGTTGAGGTTAGGACATTTACTCTTGTCATTTTTTTTCCATATCGACGACAAAAACTTAACTCGGGAAATAGTTACCTGTTTTTTATTAATGCACAAACGATTATCTGGACAAATTTTTACGTTGCACTTAAAATTATTAATTACACTTGATTACATGTGCGTGTTATTGATTGTCCTTAATTTATTAAGATTGGAAAGATCATTATGTATACGGATTTAGTTAATATTTTCTAGAAAGAGAAATTAAAAAAAAATAGGTATGGATTTTTAGTCAGTAAAAAAACTACCTATTATGACTGAGCTTTATTTTCTTGCTTCTATAAAAATCACTTCAAGTGACTATTCCTAAGTTAAGATTTATTAAGGGATTTATTAAAGAATGTCTGATTATCGAGTCCTTTATATTTTAATGATTCTCAGATTTAGATTGTTATATGGCTTCATTTCGAAGGTGACAATGCTAACACTGTTTATTTCTTCCTCAGACAAAAGCTCGGTAGTGTGCAGCGAGACAGCGTGCTGGCCCAGTCCCTACAGAGTGGCCTGGCGCTGGAGTTTGAGCGCAGCGAATCCATTCGTCGGATCAGATTGGTGCTTAGCGAAATCCTGTATATAGCGTCTCAGATACAAGAGCTACAGAAGAATCAGGAGTTCCAGATCAAGCAGTCGGATCTGTTCGACAATGCAGTCTACATGGAGGAGATAAGTTATGTGATCTGCATCGCGCTTGCTGAACTGCCAACGTTACTGTCTATCCTGGACATCGCGGAGACCCTCCTGCACGTCAAGCACGGCTCTGACATTATTTGTTGGATCGTCGCCAACAGTCCGGACAGTTTCTCGGAGGTGTGCGCTCATCTGATCGCTAACGGGGAACGGCAGGAGGAGTCTGCATTAGGCAGAATCAGGACACAGGCGATCACGATGCTCTGCCAGATGAATCCGAGTCAAGCGTTGGCGATCAGGGCTAAGTGCGTGGAATTGTGCCGGATGCCCGCTCTGGCCATCACTCTGAGCTTGGAACACGAGAACACAAATAGCTCGCAGCCCGAGAGCGACGTGGTCGCCTTCGTGTCTGGCTTGCTGCTTGGCAGCGACCAGCAAGTACGTTCGTGGCTCTCCATGTTCATCAGGAACGGGCAGAAGCGCAAGTGGGAGTCGCAGACGGCCCTGCAGTCGCTGCGGGAGGAGCTGCTCAAACGACTGCAGACGATCGTGTCGCAGAGCACGGACAGTCAGCTAGCGGACTCGCAGGTCGTGCAGGCGAGCGCGCTGCTCAGGCTCTATTGCGCTCTGCGAGGTATCGGCGGCATCAAGTTTCAGGACGACGAGGTCACGATGATCGTGCAACTCCTGACGTCGCATCCGCCGCCGTCGCCGGCCGGCGTCAGATTCGTGTCGCTCGGCTTGTGCATGCTGATCGCGTGTCCCTCCCTGATCGGGCATCACAATCTGGAGAAGCGCAGCATCGAATGGGTGCAATGGCTGGTGCGCGAGGAGGCCTATTTCGAGAGCGCGAGCGGCGTCACCGCCAGCTTTGGCGAAATGCTATTGCTGATGGCGATACACTTCCACAGCAATCAGCTGTCGGCGATCTGCGAGCTGGTCTGCGCCACGCTCGGCATGAAGATACCCATCAGGCCGAACAATCTCACGCGGATCAAGCAGATCTTCATGCAGGAGATCTTCACGGAACAGGTGGTCACCGCTCACGCTGTCAAGGTACCGGTCACCGCGAATCTGAATGCTAATATCCCTGGTTTTCTACCGGTGCACTGCATCCATCAGCTGCTCAAGTCACGGGCGTTCGCGAAGCACCGCGTGCCCATCAAGAATTGGATATATCGGCAGATCTGTGCCAGCGTGCCGCCGCTGCATCCGGTTCTACCGGCCCTGGTGGAGGTCTACGTGAACTCCATCCTGATGACGAACAACAAGACGTCCGAGCACACGAACAAGCCCATCACCGAGAACGAGATCCGCCGTGTGTTTCAGAACAGCGTGTTCGGGGCGAATTTCGACTTCAAGAAAAGTCCCGCCAACGCCATGCAGATAGACGCCGACAATATGGACATCGACACGTCGAAACCCTCTCTTACCTCTCAGCTATTGCTTCTGTACTATCTCCTGTTGTACGAGGACGTGAGACTGTCCAACATGCACATCTTCATGTCGCAAGCCAGAAAGGTCAAGTCGTACTCGACGGAGTTTCTGTCCGAGTTACCGATCAAGTATCTACTGCAACTGGTCCAGCGGGATCAGATGAACTATGCCAGTTTATTCTCGCCACTTCTTCGGCTACTGGCCACGCATTTTCCTCATTTGTCTCTGGTGGACGACTGGCTGGACGATGAGATGATTAACATAGATTCCGCGATCGCGAGCTACGAAAGCACGAAAATCAGCGAAATCGCGATCGTCGAGGCGTTCAGCCACGTCAAAACTTGCCCGTCGAGGACCGGTAGATTGTTGAGACAACTGATGGCGCTAAAACCGACTGAGATCTGGCCTCACGCCGAGTTGATAGTACACTATTTTAAGGATATTCTCGACGAGCAGGTCCCTAGATACATACAAGGTACATTGTTTTAATAATTATTTAGTAAGTCGTACATCCGTTTTTTTTTAAATTAAAATCATTAAATTAATTTTTATTAAATCCTTATTTTAATTAAAATCATTAAATGAATTGTAATTTAAATTTTAACTATACACTAATGTTAATTATTTCGCATAAGAGAGATTTGCATATTATTAATAAGGAACTTACAGGAAGTTTTCTTAATTTCAGAACTTTATAAACAAGTGTGGCTCAGACTTAATACTGTATTACCGCGTTGTCTATGGGTTCTCTCCATAAACGCGCTGCTAATAGAAAATTCAATAGTGAAGAATGTCTTTTTAACACAAGACAATATCGTGTTAGATCCATTGCAAGTATTGAGATGTGACACGAGAGTTTTTAGATGCGCGCCGATTTTATCCGTAATCTTGAGGTAAACGGAACGAATTCTATTAAATAAAGTAATTTTTAAAATTTTTATTTTTGTAAAAATAATTAAATTATTTTTTAAACGATTTATAGGATTTTACAAGCCACGTTAGCCGCCTCGCGATCTCAATTATCCAGACATATGCTGGATAAGCCCCTGACCGAAAAAATCGGGCAGCTGACGAGCGAAACGGAAAGGGAGGATTTGAGGATAGCTTTGGTGGCGGGTCAAGAAAGCGCGGCAGTGCAGATTTTACTGGAGGCGTGTCTGGAGACCGAGGAAGACAGGAAAACTCTCGGGCAAATGTGGTCCCTCCGGGAAATACGGAGTGTCGTGTGCTCCTACTTGCATCAAGTATTCATAGCTGATCCATCTCTGGCCAAATTAGTTCACTTTCAGGTACATGTCGTGACAATGAATTATACAAGTAATATCCTAGTAATATAAATTATGCGTAATAAATAGTACGATACTTTTTATTTTTTAATTAATCGCCAACTGTCTAAATATAATATTAATTTTTAATTTATCATTCTCATGATGTGTGGCTGTCTCTTCCCATAGGGTTATCCACGAGAATTGCTCCCGATCACGGTTTCCGGAATTCCGTCTATGCACATATGCCTCGACTGGATCCCGGAATTATTGTCGCAGCCCGAATCGGAGAAACAAGTGTTCGCCGTTGACTTGGCGTCGCATCTGGCGATTCAGTACGCCCTGCCGAAGGCTCTGAGCGTTTCTCGGCTGGCGATTAACACCCTGATAACGCTACTGGGCGTGTTATCGGCCGAGGATCGAGTCATACTCTTCATGCCGGTGTTGTCGTCGTTGACGCGAATATGCCTGGCTTTTCCTCCATTGGCCGAGGACATCACGGGGTTGTTACTGCAGCTCGGCAGAGTCAGCACGGCTCAGGCGGCACTGGGTGATAAAGCGGCGGATCTGTTATGCCAAGAAGTGAACGCGACATTTTGCACGTTGCTGCAGAAAGCTATATTGCAATCGCGAGTTTACTGAAATGCGACTTGGCCGCAGTACGGGACTGTTAACCATTTCGAGAGTTTTGATGTATTATTTGTATATAAATCTTCTGTATTATCCACCATGTAAAGTGACTATCAATTTTGTAAGCTATTTTTTTAATCGAATACGAATTAGAAATATCTTTCATACACTTGATAGCATTAAGCTACTACGATAAATTAACAGGACTGTTCGACTATCTGTCGATCGAAAAATAACGAGTACACCTACGATTAAGTCGAAGATATGATTAAGACAAGCTTATAATTAGTACTGTTTCTCTGTATCTAACATCTTTTCTTATACATATGAAAGTATTGGTTGTGTGCATATTTATTTTAAATTTAAACGTAAGTACAAAAAAAAAGAATTGTATATTGACATCCCTATATCCTTGTCTTTTTATATAGACAAAAGCAATTTTTTTTTATAGTGAGAAAACATTAACATTTTCTATTTTCTATACTGTTGTGACAGAGATATGTGTAACAATAAAGAGAGATATTTCACGTATCCTCTAGCACGTATTTACAGGATTTATTACATGTTTAAAACACAGATATACTTTCTACCTTTCTTTTCTTTTGCGTCTACAATAGTTTGTCATGTTTTTTTTTTGAGCTGTTAATTCCTCTTACTATTTCCTTTTTCCGTCGTAACGCAAAAGTCATGCAGAAATTATCGTACATCTCGTTTTCTTCGTGAAACATGATTACTGAGGATCGTCTAAATTATTTTGTTTACACAGAGTATTTATGTACGTGTCTTACGCGACATGTCTTAAATCTATGCAGTACGGATGTATATTCGTCATCGGACACGTGTTACATATTTCAGATCATGCATTTGTTTAACACATAAAGCAAAGGGTGTTAAAACTCCAATTTATTCCAAGGAGTTTAACATCAGGAGCTGCTTCAGCACTTTAGTTTGACTTGTCTCTCTGATCTCGCCAGCTAAGAACATTTCGTCCACAACAGTGTACACCTGAAATACAGTTATTATCAGAATTAAATACAGTTGGGCAATGACAAATAAAGTCTCGTGAAATTACGTTAATCAATTAAGATAAAGGAATTAATGGATTCTCGCGAGCTTCATCGAACTTATCGAGGATAATGTCAAAAATGTCATCGAGGAGAAAGAGAAGTACCTTGTAAAAATTAAAGACTAAATCCAACTCGCATACATTGTGGAAGTATTCGTTCAACACCTCCACGAAATTATGTATCGCTTCCAGGTAACAGAGATTGTTGTCGTTAACGTCGACGCAGATACAGAAGTACAAGCCGGCGTACCGCCTGTACACTATCTTGAAATTGCGAAACTGGAACATACGTTTCAACGTTTTTAGTTACAACGCACGTGAACGCGACGAAGAAAGAGTATAACGTCTAGCCGGGCCCAACCTCGACGAAGTTCGTGTGCTTCGCATCTCTGACAGTGACAACCGCATGAACCTCCTCTATCAACTTCTGCTTTTCGTCATCGTCAAAATTCATGTACCACTTCGCTAACCTAGTCTTACCGGCCCTATTTTGTATAAGGATAAACCGTATCTGTAAAGAATAAATATTCGAGGCTTAATATACGCATTCTCGTCTTTTAGATTCAATCGTTTGTATTAACTGTAAATGCAAAATAATTTTCGAAAATGTATTTATTTTACGAGGTGACTTTTAAGCAACATAAAGATGACATGCAATGATCTACTGATCTCTTTTTATGTTTGAATATCACATATTACATTCAAGCTTGTCAAAATAATGTTTCAACCTGACAGAAGTAACGATCAATTAAGTAAATGTCGAAGTAAATGTCAATTAAGAGAGACGACACTTTTGGAGCATATTTTTCTTTACGTATGTTTATCGAATCCAATGGAAGATGTGAATCTCATTTGAAAATTAAATATTTTTATACGTACCATTTTGAAAATCGATTTAGCACTCGGTAAAATGCCTTACGAATTTTTAATTAAATGACAAACATATGATTCTATCAATTCCCCGCCCACCGATCACAAATATCAGGGAGGAACCTAACCTAATTTGAGAGAGGACGGTCTTTTTCGTGTGAAATGCCCTCTCGCACATTAACGCCCCCCCAAAGAAGTGGATGCAAACTACATAGCAACATTCACTTTTCTGCGCCGCGGATATACAATTTGTGGTGCGTGTCCGTGCTACGTCCACCTTTCGAAACTGCGTAAAAGTAGATTGCACAAATATAGATATAATGTAGATGAAATATGGATTCCACATTTGCGATACTCTCACCAATTTGTCTTACAATTAGTTTTGCAGAAACGCTGTTTTTTATCCATTGACTTTATTTTTATATCCTCGTAATTTTCCTAAAAAATATTTGTGTAGTTAATTTAAGTGCATGTTTTATATATATATACATACATTTTTCAATATACTTTATACACTTCTCAACAAAATTAAAGCATCACTTACTTTACCCTCCAAAAATAGGCAAAATTCAAGAGAGTGCAACTTTGTCAAAAATGATCGTATTGAGATGTTCAAAAAAGCATTTTACAGCTTGAAACCTCTACTTTCCAAATCGGTACTTTAGAAAACGATCATACTGATCTTTCATGGAATTACACGGATAGAAAAGGAGACCCGACGAATCTCAAAATTTTTTACAAACTTTGACAAGTTCCATGGCGCGAATTAAAAATCGCATGCAAATGCAGTTTACAGCTTTCGAAAGAGTAAATCTTTAGCTTTAATTTGCTTTTTGTTGAGCGTTGTACGATTTTTC